CATTGCCTCCATATCCTTTAAGGGTGAATGTATGCACACAGTGACAGAGCTCTTGCTCTGGAGAGGATTTCTTGCTCCAGAGTAACTCATGGACAGATTGTATTTTCTTCTCCTTGTTGAAGAAAACCAGACTGTAAATCTGAAGAAAAAAATTCAGTACCTGGGAACGTCAATGGAATTTGAATGGGAAAACTGAAAAGCAGGAGATTTTTGAAGTAAACTGCCTTTGTTGGGTTCAGAATTTTGGGGACTCCAAGGCAGAATCAGAAGGAAGAGCACAACAAGGCAAAACGAAAGGGCAGGAGGGGAAAACCAGCAAACTGTTTCTTTAGCCCTGCTTTAACGATACCCTGTTCTAAAGAGACCTCAAACAGCAAGCATTACTGTGTACAAAAATAGAATAGCAAGGATGAAAAAACACAAAAAACAGTATGAAAAAAACCCTCCCAAAAATAGATGTACACAAGTTCTATTTTATATTAGTGTATATTACAAAATTCAAACATGCAGTCTCTATTTTGAATGCAGAACGCTCCAGTCCATGTGTACCGGGGATGCTGCTATGTTTTCTTTACAGCACCATCATGTGACAGGGGAAAGTCTTGTGTTTTTAGCTGACTTCCAACCTCTCTGCCCCTCGCCGGTGTGACAGTCCCTTCTCTGCAGGGCCTGCTGCTGCCATCTGGCACAGGAGAGGCTCTCAGAGCTGCCTGTCCCGGAGCAAGCGGCAGCTCCTTTGCTGGGGCCACTTTGCTGCTACCTGCCAGTGCTTCCGATGCTTTAGTGCTGCAGGAAACTGCCTCTTTTTTGGCCAGCACGGGACACGCTGCCTCCCAAGGTTTAGCTGAGCTCAGTGACTCTGTGCAGGATGCACTCCTCGTGGTCAAACCATCGGCGCTGGCTGGTGTGGCCTCCTGGCACACTCCTGCTTGTGAAGCTTCCTGCTTTTTTTGCTTCCCATCTCTCTCTTCTTTACACGAGGCACCCAAATGGGGGAAATCCTTTCTCTTTTCCATTTCTCCAGAACCAGCCATACTGAGCTTTAAGGGGCCCAAAACGCTCTGTGCCAACGGCACCAGCTGAGACACAGAGAGTGCCCTCTCGATAGCGCAGGGGATGAGCAGCGTGGAGCTCACGGTGCCTGCTGCCATGCTCTGGCTCGCTTTGCTGGCAGATGGAGCGCTCTCTGCCTGGGATGAGCTGGGACTTCTTTCAGATGTTTCACTTGCAGGATGCTGAAATGAGGTGCTGTCTTGTTCTACAGATGGAAGTGTGCCCTTGTGGTCCTTCTCACCACGATCCGCAGGGCTTACCGAGCAAGGAGAGCTCACACTTGCTGTGCAACAAGATGAAAGTGCTAGCAGAGGTTTGGGATCTTGGGTTTTCTGACTGATTTCTGACAGCAAGGGGTCCTTCAGGTCAAATTTACCACATGAGGCCCCTGCAGATTCATCCCGTACAAGCTCAGGGAGTTTGACAGGTGGGCACTTCATACTTTCCGTGCAGTCCACTGGTTTTTGAGTACCGGTAGTTCCCCCTAGATCTCTGACTGCTTCAGAAGATTTGCCTTTTGGACCAAAATGCTCAAGGGTTTTGTTTTCTACCAATTTATGCTCCTTTGAAGTGGTTTCTGGCCTTAGGAGTGGCTTTTCTGAACCAGCTACGTTTTCTGGAGAGGTTCGTGGGAGGACCTCTGATGGGGAAGGGTGCACACCAACTTGCAGCAGCTCAGAAACAGCCTTGGTTTGTTGACTGCTTCCTTTCTGCAAATCTTCTGTACCTTTTGGATCTTCAGGTAGGAAGGCATCATCTTCCATACTATCCTTGCTTTCCAATTTAGAGGAAAACTTATTATCCCCGTTGTAAGAATCTGAGCCTTGGTCTCCGCTCTCTGGGGGCTTGTCCAATCTTCTTCCATCCTGACTATCCTCCGAACCATCGTCTGTTTCATCTTCAGAAGAATCTACTTCTCTTATGGCCTCCTGCTTCTGCAGAGACTCCCTTCTCTCCACTCTGTCCTGTCGGATTGCACCCAACTTTCGGGAACCCGGCTTCTGCAACATGCCTTTTTCTGCTAGCCCCAGTTTGCCACCTGTTGTTTCATTCACAGATTCCTGTAAGCTCTGTAGACTCGGATCCCTCTGCAGCATCTCCTTCTTGAACTCAGAGTGAGAGATATCCAAGCTGTGCTTCCGTGAGGACGTCAGCTTCTTCTCAGAAGAGGACAGCGAGGCAGCTAGTTTCTCAGCTGACTGCACTCTCTTCAGCAAAGGAGATCGAGGGGGCTCAGCACTTTTGGGGCGAGAAATCTGTCTCACCAGTGGTGGAGAGGAGTGTAGTTTTACTGGAAAAGACTGAATAATACTGGAGCTGCCAATCGAGTGTCCTGGTAAAGGAGATGGGGAGCGCTGCGGTGATGTGGACTGTGGGGTTGGTGATGGAGTGTGAGCCAGTGGTGACAGAGGGATATTTCCTGCAGACTTACGTCTTGGAGATCTGTACTGCCTTTGGAGCTTTGGTGCCAGTCCGTGCAGTGAACTTGGTCGGATGTGCCCAGAGCTGGCTGGAGAATTGGGAACACTGGAACTGGGAGAGCTGCTCTGGGAAGAATTGCCACCAACTTAAGAGAGAAAAAAAAAAAACAACAAAACAAGACCAAAAGATTAATACGTATCTGATCATTCGAAGAAGTTACTGAAAGTAAGATGTGCAAAGTCAAGACAAAGTGTCATGTTATTATCGAGCAGTGCAGTAATATTATGAGATAATATTCCAGGGTTCCTGAATGAAAATTTACACCACTGTCACAACACCAGAATATAGCCAAAAACATCATGCTATCAGAATGTTTTTCTGTAAAAAAAAAACCCTCTAAATAGATAAGCCACATGTTCCAGTGCTATTTATGTGATGTAAATCTCTTCACTGTCAGTAGGCTCAAAATATGAACACCAATTTGTTTCCTTTTTTTCCCAAAATAATACAGAAAATGTGTCAAATGGCTACAAAACCATTGCAGCTTACAATACATGTTTGCATCAAAGTGAAAGGATGCTATAGTTCAGCAAGTGCATTCTTAAAAGAGTGTATGGATTTTCATTTTTAAATGACTAAGCGAATGAGAACACATTCATTCTTGAGGAAACCACAGCTGTCATTTTACTTTAGAAACAGATTTGCTACCTGGGCAGGATTTTACTTCAAAAATTTATCGATGTAAAATTCTTCCCTGAGTTTTGTGTTTTGTTTTGGTTTTTTTTACCTGAATGTACAGACTCAGGAGTGGATCTGTAGCTCTGTGTGGGTGACCGGGGCGACAGGTTGTGAGTTGGAGAGCCAGGCACACTTTCCCCAGAAGACAGAGAGCGGTTCAGTGAAGATAAACTACGGCTGGTGTGAAGCAGTGATGCCTGTTTGGTGATCTTCCTCAGCAAAGAACTCTTCTTCTTACTGTGGAAAATATTAAAAGTTGTTTACAAGCCCTAAGTATTTATTTACTTCTGATGTCAAATTTTGGTCGATTTTACGTCCAAAGGAGAGCCAACACAACAAACCTTTCCTGACCATCCTTAGTTTTGCTCTTCTTGTTCCTACGTGCCATCTTGGATTTGTAGCTGGCCTTTCGAGCTGGCCCAACTTTGATGGATGTGTTCTCAAATGGCGTAGTGGAGATGGACACTTTGTTTCCACTCTGTCAGAAACAAGCCATGAACACAGCTGAAAACACAGCTTTATGAAGCACATCTGCAGGCCAAGCAGGTAGGCTGTTAGTTCATTACTGCCTGCCATTTTGTAATTGTTGTCAAACTCCATTTCCCCCTTTGCATTTCCACTTATCATTTATTAAGGAATTGCTGTGAGAGGCCCTCTTTAGTCAGGCTTTCACAAATGATTAGCTCAGATCCCAGCTGGGAGCTGGTAAAGCTTCCCAGAGCAGAGGGAACACAGCACCTGACCTCTCCCACTGCTTAATACTTGTTATCCTTGGGAAGTTGAACAAAGTGATATTCTGCCACCAATTCTATTCCCTGTGCTCTGACCGAAGGCAGGTGTGAGCACAGCAGGCATCCATCATGCCGAAGCTGCAGCACAGAGCATGGTTTGTCTCACCCTTAAAAATAAAAAAATTCTGATTGCTCCTCCCAAAGAATTCTGTCTCTCGGAACAGTCCAAAACTTTGGGTTTTATTTCCATAAATGGATTCAGCCCAGAGGAGGTATCAAAAAGCAAGTCATTTAAGTGGATAATTTTAAGACCAACCATTACAAAGCTGCTTTTAAATACCACTGGGAATAATCCTTGAGAAAGCAGTATTAAGAGCTAATAACATTAGCACAGCCTAAAGGCAGAAAAAAAATAAAAGTAAACTGGGATTTTTTTAAGATAACTTGTTTCATGAAGTGTTGAGGAAAGGTACACTTGAATCTTATTAACCTTTGTCCCCAGCGCCGTCAGACACATTTGACAGGTTCTTAATGTCCAAGAGAATACCTGAGAGTTCAGCTTAAGCGATGCACAGTCAATTTTGGAGATTTAGGGATCAAGCTTCAGCAAGGAGTTTTTGCAAAACAAAGGCCAGGTGCGGTGTACACGCTTGTATTTCAGACAATGCCAATTAGGTATCTGCAGTGCTTATATATGCAAAATATGAGACAGCTTGTTTATTTTCCACTATCTAACAGCGCCGAGTCCCTACCTTCAGGATCAGCTCCACCACTTCAGTGTGCACCAGCCCATGGACCGGCTCCCCGTTGACGTGGGTTATCAGATCCCCTTCACGCAGCCCTGCTTCGTTCGCTGGACCACCTTCCTCCACGTGCTGGCAATGAGAAGGGGCTGATTGCTTCAAGAGGAATGCACAAAGCTGCCGGCCCATCTAACACAACGCCAACCCAGCTCATCCTTTGCATTAGCTGCTTCAATGGAGGGTAAAGGGAACCACTGACTGGCACGGCCCACTCTGCCATTCCTCCCAGCTTCCCAACAGTCTCTCCTGATCCAAGACTGACAGCCAGGATGGTTAACCTGGTCAAGAAACCAGCTCCTGCCAAAGCAAGAGAGTCAATACTCTTCCCAATCTTTTCAGCACTCAGGAATGTTAACTAGATACTCTTGATTTCCAGGCAAGACTTCAATCTTTTTCAATTTCGTTGTCATTCTACCACATACATGCTAGAATCCAAGGCTGACAGACTTTTAAATAGGACTCTGCCATGTGTTTAGGCTGCCTGTATTACATTTAATCCCAAACAGAGTGTCTTTTTCCACTTTCCACCCTTTACTGACCCATCCAGCTCATTGCCTTTCCCCATCACAGTTCAAAAAGGCAAACCTCCTTTACAGTGAGGTGACATTCATGCTCAAGAATTCTGCAACTCTCCCTCTAGCAGCAAAACAGTATCAGAATCTTGGTAAATTCAGCATTTTCCCAGGACAGCCAAGAGGAGCAAGGGAAAAACACAGCTTCAGATTATTTTGCTAGCTAAGAATGAGTGTTAAACGATGACCAAAATACATGAAGCCTGGATTGTCTAATGAGCAGACATACAAGGAAAAAGGACGAACCACCTTTACCCTTTCTCTGTTCTAACTGCAAAAGTCAAATCACCCCATGTCAGGGAACAGGACATTCCTAGAAGTCATACACGTTAACAAAAGAGGAACAGAGATCAAGCACCAGCAGTAACGGGGAGAAATAAATACAGACATGGAAACCAGACCTTTTAGCATAGCATGCAGCTACGCCAAGAGCTAAATCCCTCGGCAGTCAGCATAGCAGCAGTGATGCTTCAAGGCTTGTAATCAATTCCTAGTGACTGCTTGGAAAATCCCAGCAGAGTGAGCTGATCCAAAGCAGGCTACAATTGCTAACGCAAGTCTGACCAAATTAGCCGTAACTCACCCTCATGCAACAACCTCACTAAAGAGAAAGACAGTATGTACATAGAAACATGCTTCAAAGTATGTGCTACAAGTGAAAGGAAGTGAATACATGTAACCAGGGAAGAAAGAAAGAAGAAAGGTTGCTATGGTTCTGTGACGGGCTTGAAACCTGCTACAGTCATAAAGGTTTCCCCCACCCAACAAATGATAACTTTGGGTCCACGGAAGGAGAAAGAAAACAGGGTGGCAAAATGAAATTCATAAAGCTAAATCCCACGCTCCCAGCTAACTACATTTCCGGACCCAAGGGCACTCCTTAGAAAAGCAGAGACATACCCAGACCATGTGATGCACAGTGTAGATATCACTGTCACCCATATAGACGCGAATGGCACGCAGAGTGAAACCGTATTTCTTTCCAGCCCGATGGATGATGATTGGTGGTTTCAGGTTTGCGATAGCAGGAGAAAAGTCGCGGCTGGGTGAGGAGTCCCTCGAAGATGGGTTTGAGGATAGAGAATGAGGTGACATTGGACTAGCCAATGGGGAACACGTGTGGTGATCTACAGTGATGACACAAAGGTGTGCAAAAATTAGGAAAGCAGGCCTCCAAAAGAGAGAAAATTCTTGTTAGAGAACAGCTAGGAAATCACCTCTCCCAATGCTCTTAGAGCTGGTGATATTTTTTCCTGCGACCTCAACTAATTCATGTTTCAAAATACAAAACCCAGTGAAGTTTCCAGACAGCACGTTTAGTAACGTGTAGTGTGCTTGCCTACAATTACAGCTGGGTCACAGCATTTAATTTTCCTGTTTCCTGGATTTACAACCTGTCATAGTTAACGACTTTAGATGCAGTGCTGGAATACTCTAGCCCAAGGGTATGATTTATTACCCCCCCCTTCCCAAAGAGATCAGATTGTTTCTAGATTTTGGTGCAAATAACACATTGGTGCTGCGCTCAGTCAAAATCAGTAATTTTAAAAGAAAAATCAGTTTTGAATATGACAATATGACCTGACTATGTGCAGGTAATTTCTGGTAGTGTTTTAAATTCTTAGGGGCAAAAATACTTAGCTCTACAAAGCAGCCATTGCAGGACTTTGCTACTAGAAAACAACATCACAGGTGTATGTCAGAGTACATTTCCCACACAGCTGACGAGTTGAATTCTCACTTATGTGGCTCAGCTGCCTAAATGTGCCCCTTAAGTGGCTTAGCCAGGCTAAAGCACCTGGCTGTACAACAACATCTCTTCCGAAAATACAAAGCAAATACAGAGTTCTCACTTCAGAGCGAAGCTGGTCAATATCAGTAAAAAAAAATCCCAAATGGTAGGATTATTAAATGCAGCTGTAAAGGGTAATCCCAAACTCACTAAGAAACACCTGCTGAATTACCCAGCACAGTCTTTATCTGGCAGATGAGCACAGCTTTGGAAGGACTTTTGCTGGGAGATTAAACACATATCTTAGAGATTTTCGTGAGTTTCTGGATCAGAAAGCAACCAGTGCTCAGCCCATAGGAATGAAATGTGCACCACCACGAGGTGCCCAGAAGCATTTCTGTATCTGTCTCCAGCTCCCAGCAAGATGGGCAGGCACTGCTCTGCCAGCAGGCTCTGCTGCTTTGGCACAGCGGGCCCACTGCAGCCCAGCCTCCTAATCTAAGGCAGATACTGCCCTGGGAATGCAGCAAGGCCTTATCCTCCAGAAAGAGGGATAAAATCCTTACAGGGGGAAGGGGCTGTCAGAGTGGGCTGTGGGAGTGCTGCCTCCACATGCTGTACACCAGAAGTTGGTGCCTGGCGTTAGGAATCATCAAGGCATGGCTCCATGTGGAGACAGAGCCAGGACAGCAACACCAGCTTACACTGTGACTTATTTACACCACCAAATTCTTGAATGCTCAGTTATGTGAATCACTGGAACTCCCCTGAGGCACGCACAAGGCACAGGCACACAGTTCCCGAGCAGGCTGTCCCCCCCACAGAATGAAGAATAACACCCTGAGGGTTAAAAGCCGTTCCACACCGACACACTTCATGCTGCACAGGAAGCAGCTTCTGCTGCTCCAGGAGCTGCTGCTGATGGACCAGCTCGTGGAAAGCTGCCGCGTGCAGAAGCTGCGCTCAGACCACACACAGTACTTTGTGGCAAAGCAGCACTGCTGTCCCAGTGAGCAGTGAACAGCCACCAACAGCACGGGTCGGATCGCTCCCCTCCTGCCAGCAAAGGCACCGCTCCAGGAGAGCGCAAGGGGAAGGACCTGCCTGCGGATCTGTTGAGTGTGCGGGCAGATTCTCACAACGCCCAGCCCGAGGCACTTCTTACCTGAGGGAATCATGAGAGACAAGGCAGTGGCGGACGCTGATTTAATCACTTTATTGACTGGTCTGGAGGCGCGTTTCTCGCCCGATTCCCCGGAGAGCAACCTGTGCCGTGCGCGCCGCACTGCCAAGTCGCTGATGGCTTTAGGAGTGGTGAAGTCTGGGCCTTCGTTGCTGTTGCTGCGAGCGCGTGGATCAGAGAAGTCTGCAGTGCTCCCAGCTACAGTTTAAATTAAAACAGATTAGAACCACAGGGAATTCCTAACGGTCTATTCTCCTACAGGCAAAATACATTAAATCAAAGTCATGTTTACATGTAGTCCAAGAGTAAATTTTCCTAAGAAGAAACCCCAGGGCTTGAATTTTTATTTACAGAAATGGTGTTATTCTGAACACAGAAAATTAGAGGCTTCTATTCTGCTGGAAAAGCTTGCGAATGAAATCACGTTGCTCAGCGGCAGAGCTGCACGAATCCTAAATCCGTGCCGCAGTTCTGCAAGCAAGCCATTTGGATGGAATTGTTCAGAGATGTAAACAGGTTTATGGAAAGTGCTCCATTTTTACAATCAGCAAGAACCGTCAATCCTTAAGTTAAAACCTGCCTGTAATAGCAGAACCAGGTTTTATTGGAGCTTGCACATAAAAAAGCCACTTTAAGAGAATATGAAGGTACTAAAGCCAGGGAAAGCAAAAATGTGGTTGGAAAGACAACCTTAATTTGCCCCCTTCTGCGTACCACTGCAATTTAGTCTCGAGTTACTTAACCTTCTATAATTATGTATAAAACACAAAATAATCTTGAACATCAGCCTAGGCATGCAGCATCAGCAGATGCTGGGGGTGTACATGAGCTCTGTGCCTCAGTTCCCCATCCGATACTTCAAGGGGCACTGTGAAAAGACATTAATTAGAATTTACAAGGTGCTCGGAAATTAAAGGGGTGAGCATCACTGCTAGTTCACAAGGGAAATTAATCATTCTGTCTTCAAAAGCAAGTTTGGAACAGCGTGCAATAAATAAAGCCTAAGGGGCACATTTTGAACAATGAGGACAGAACAAAACATTGATCATTGCTCTTTAAGTGGGCACTGCTGCTCTGCATACTAAGTAAAGCAGAAAGTACCATGAAAATAACAATTTGGAGCAGCAGTCCCAAAGACTGCTCAATGCCAGTTCTACATCTAACAGCCAGAGTTAGAAAGCTAAGGTTCCTATCCCATGGTTTAGCTATGGGAGTCACAACGGGTTTCAGAATGTCATTCAAGTACGTGCTGGCTTACTTCCTTCATTCATCCCTACACCTTCTCACATGAGTTAATGGAGAAAGTGATGGTCTCTTCTGGGAGGATGAGCTGTAGAGACAAATGGCACAACTCTGGAGTAATTTTAACAGACTGGATGGCAGAAGAGGGATAATGAGAAATGGTAATCTTGGGCCTCACTCCAGACTGGAGGCAAATGTGCTTTCAGGTCTCTCCACCTCCTAACAACCCAGCATCACATCCTCCCAGTGCCCCTCAGCTTGTCCTTGCCTAATCCTGCTGCCACTCTGACTCCATGCTCAGTCACCCCTCCCTTTACAATCTATTCACAACCTCTTTGCCTGCTTGCTCTTAGCCTCTCCCAGCAACTGGTTTGTCCAAAGTTCTGTTCAGCCCAGCACTGGGATACGGCTCCAGGAAAGACAAAGCTTCAGAGAAGTCACATACTGATTTCTAACACCACTTTACCTATGCAAGATGCATTTTTTAAGACTGCAACTTGATTAAATTTAGGTGTATTTGGCTGAGACAGCAAGTAGCATGCAAACCCCACGTCCCCAGCAAATTGCACAGAATTATAGAATCACAGAATCACTGAGGTTGGAAAAGACCTCTAAGATCACCCAGTCTGACCCCAACCCATCCCACCATGCTACGTCCCTCAGTACCACATCTCCACAGGTCTCTAACACCTTCAGGAACAGTGATCCTATCACCTCTCTGGGTAGCCTGTGCCAGTGCATTACTGCTCTTTATGAGAAGAAATTGTTCCTAAAATCCAACCAGAATCTCCCCTAGGGCAACTTAAAGTCATTACCTCCTGTGCTATTGTTAGTTCAAGCCTCTACTCAAAACGTTCAGATAAATAATCATAGGAAGTGAGGATCTTTCAGTATGGCCAAACACCCATATTTCTGCAGCCCCAACTCAGCAGTCATCTGCTCTGACTCATGCACCACATCATTTTAAGCAGGCACTGATTATATGGGTCTCAGCATGGGAAGATCTTTAAGTGAAGGACTAAAATAAAAGATGTAATTTTGAAGAGATTAGACTGATGTTATATTAAAGGGAAGCACAGCAATGAAACTATACTGGGATAGAATGGCTTGGGTTGGAAGAGACCTCAAAGATCATGCAGTTCCAAGCCTCTGCCACAGGCAGGGCTGCCAAGCATGCCATAGCACGAGACCTGCATTTCACCCAACACCTACATCCAGTTTCGTGCAGTTAGCACCTGTCAGCTAACACATCACGCAGGGTACGAACCTGTCAGCGCCGTGGTGCTGCTGACAGCCATGCAGGGGGTGGTGGGCCCAGCATCGCCCTCCAGCTGCAGCTCGTGCTCCACGGGCTGCTCTGGGATGGGCACCGGTGACTGCACGGCCGACAGCAGCATCCCCTCTGACTGAGGCCTTTTGAGCACGGCTCCCTCGTCCTCAGCAGAGATGGCGAAGCGGGGCATGTCCAGGAGCCCCGAGCAGCGCCGGCGCACGGTCAGGGGCGGGCTGGAGTCACTCTCTGTGTGCGAGGATTCGGACATCGACAGGCGCTTACGCAGTCTGAGGGAGAACACAAGGCAGAGCCCCTCCGTTACAGCAGTGGGATAGTTTAAATTTTAAAGGACAAAAGGGTGCACAGACCCAGCTCACACCTCTGAAGTCAATTTGAGGTGAAGTTACGAGACTGAGCTGCGCCATTAGGACTTAAAACAGCAAAGCTTCGAAGGTATCACCCGAATTTAGATTTCCAGTATATTCCACTGTTAAGCTTCTAAGCAAACAAGGAATAAAAGTGAAGAAAAATATAATGCAGTAAATATGATAACAAATATTACAAACTTCACAATGGCAAAATACCAGTCACCGTCCATGTTCCTTTTGGTATTACATTAACTTTTCTTTCAAAGCGGCTGTGAACTTCAAGCCAGGAAGGCTTGATTCAAGAACACCAGTTGAAAGCATAATCTATAAAACGTTTTTTGAATGGAGTCATACAGACTAGATCACAACCACATTCTATGATCTTTCCAATGCCAAATTTCAATGTAAAAGCTTTACAGAAGTTGTACAAAGTGACAGAGTCCTTTTTGAGGACAAGTTTGACAATTTTTTCAGTTATGCTGGAAATGTGGTGGCTATCCAAATTCTGGGCATTTGTATATTTTCCTGATGTTTTTTATTAGAACAAAAGATTTTGGGGGGGATATTCTGAACTTTGGAAACTTTGGACAGTTCTAACTAATGCTCTTTGACTAACAGTTTCTCTAATGTATGACAAATGACAAAAAAAGAACAGACTTTGGATTCTCTGATGTTGAAGAAAAATCTGCTGTTGGTACATCTCCAACATAATGAGTATTTTCACAAATGAAAACTCTACTGGAAGTTAGAATTCCTTTAAATTCACTTGAAGTATTTGCTATAAATTTAGGAAAGATTGGTGCTTAAATGGATACATATATGGACATTTGTTTTCAACTATTTATTCCACTCACTGGGTTTCACCTGTGGAAATGTATCACGTGAAGCATTCCTGACCTAACAGAGGACACAGAGTTTTGGCACAGGTCAGTCTTTCTCATAAACTCAAGCACTGAGTCGTGCTGGACTTACATTTCAGGAGACCCGATCACCCAGCTGCGGTCCCGACTCTTCAAGCCACCCAGGCTGTCCAGCCGGTCGTCCTTTTCTTCACTCAGACTCCGTTTAGTTGGTGGTGGAGTTTTCCTCTCTTCGTGGATGGAGAGGCGTTCCATGCTGCTGTACACCTGCACAAAGCAGAAGAGCCCTCTGTACAGAGAAAGCATATTTACCTTACGTGGCCCTCTTCTGATCAAGGGGCACAGTCTTTCCTCCCAATGGAAGACATTCCCTGGCAGTATGACCGTGGCAACGCTCTTTGACTAAATAACGCAGTGCAGGTGTGACATGCTCAAAGTGTGCCAGGGAGAAAAGGAAAAAGGCAACCTTCAGAAACGTTGAATAAATGTGCTTTTCCACAATGCCACCCAACACCTGTCCTCCGAAAGCAGCCCAGCATGCCACAGAAACACCAGGATTTTTATGGAAACTCATTGATGTTTGCTTATAACAGCTCTCAAATCCACGGAGAAAAATTCCACAAGCAGATTCCTCCAGCCTGGAAGGCTGGCATCTGCATCTTGAAATCTTACTACACAAATTCAGTTCAGTGATAGGCATCACGCTCATGACCCCATTTCATTATCAGCAGTCTATCAGCATTGCCCCGAGCTTCTTTCAGAACAAAAAAGTCCTGCCCTCCTCAAGGAATCTACTATAATGCTGACAGCTTAATGAAAGTGCCTTTCTTGGTTTTACAGCCGTCTTTAAATAATTAAATGATTAAGCAAAAAAAAGCCATCCTTTTAAAACTACACTTGACTGTGGACCTAATTTACATAAGAAGAGATTAATGAAAATAATGTTATTAAAAATTCAGAGCATCAACAAGATAACTATTAATAAATCATATGGCTGAATTGTCAGACAAGAATTTCAAAATATAATGAGCCTTTTATGCCTCCCACATTACAAATGCTGTATAATTTTCCAGGTCTTAAAATAAATTCATTAAAAGTGAACTTTTTCTCTTTGTGGCAAAAACATTGAACCCTAAAGAAAAGCTTCATTCTAACAGAAGAATAATACTTGTGGTGAGAAAAGTCAGAAAAAAGAAACTCTTACACGCTCACGAGAACTTTTTCAAAATCCCAACTAATCCTCAGGTCCAATTTTAAACACACTTTTGGTCATGCAAATCAGGAGCAGCTCCATAAAATTAATGTTAACTGCTACTTAAGCTACTGTAGCCCATCCGAAGACAAAGAAGAATGCAATAGTGCTTCAAAACCGACTGCAACAGTGGAAATCTGAAGGAACTGTCATGAAAAACTGAAATCTTTCAGTGTCCCTAAATAAAATGCTACTTCCATCTCCCCAAGAAGTTGGAATACTGTTCGTAGGGCAGGCTTAAAAGAGCATTTCTTCTCCTTTCTGTCTCTCCCAAACATAATCTGTTTTATCCAAGCTAAGTGGAGTTTTACTACTTTGAAATATCTGGGATAGCAGTTTTTTATTTCAGATGATCTGAAGCAGAATGAGAGAACTGCACAGGCCTGAGTAAGGCATATTGAGTCCAGAAAGCAAGGCAAGAAGGAGCATCCCCATGGCATCCAGTCCATTCCCCTGCCTCAGAACAGAACCACTCTCTTTCAATCACCTGGCAGATGTTTTTCCAACCTGTTCTCAAAAGCCACCAGTGATGGAAATTCTAGCAGCTCCCCAGGCAATCCAGTGCTTAATTAATTTTCAACATTGGAAACTTCTTCTTACCATCTATTGCACAACTCCTTTGCACCCATGTTTCCATACCTATTTTGGGTCAAACAGGAAGAATAATTTACCCCCTTTCTTCTAGAACATTTTAGGTTTTATCCTTTGTAGACCCTGGATAATTCTTTTTGCTTTCCTCTGGACTCTCTTTACCAGTCCACATTTATTTTTGAGAACATTTCCCAGGACAAAGCACTCTAGCTGAGCTGCCCCTACTACTAAGCACATAGAAAGGATTACTTCATTTGCCTTGCAGAAAACATTCTTTCCCACTCCTTATAATAGCTGCTTTTTGCCTCAACAGCCTGGCATATTTAACACACGATCCTTTTCTTTCAAACTGTCACCTCACCTTTTGTTCAAAACAATGAATAGCATAGGTGTAGAACTTTGCATTTACTCTTACTGCATGGGATCCCTTCAATATTAGACCACTATTCCAAAATGTCAACATCAGTCCTCATCCTAATACCACCTTGTGACCTATTAGAACACCCTTTTTAGAACAGCACTGCTCAAAGCAAACAAGCTTTGGACGCTCCCTACGCCAGCATCCAAGTCATAGTAAAAACATCACTCAGATACACAACAGACCTCTGCAATGCCCTGCATATTAGCAAAACACTAAGAAACACAAAATGTCATTCACCAATTAGCCTTTCACCCACCTTCTAGCAGGTCACAAACTACCACAGAGCTAACAAACACATACAGATTTCTTTCCCTCCTCAGCAAATACTAAACTCTGTGTGATTCCCACATATCATCTGTGTGATTAAAATCTACCTCATACGAAGCACCAAAGCCTCAAAAACAGTGTTCCTCTCTAGATTTGTGTTTTCTACAAGGCAGCATGCTCCTACCTTGCTAAACCTTGGTGAGCACGAGGAAAACTGCCGAATTTCCACATGATCATCATCATTAGTGTCCTCCTCCTCTTCTGAATCCAGGTGTTGGTACCGTTCAGAACGGGCTGCAAACCAGGCATGGCAGATTTCATCAGTGCATGAAGTATTGATATACCTCAAGCAATATGTGCTTACCCCAGAATGGCCTTTGTATCAATTCCTACTTGTCTACTTACAAAAAACTCTAAGTGTTCTTATGCCACGATGTGTATTCTCTATAACAGTGAAACATATTCAGGCAGTTTTGTTCACCCTGTACACATAGCAAGGAAGAATACCTCCTTCCTACTGAATTTATCTTATATCATCAGCTATATTATGCTTGAAATGCTGATACTCAGCACAAATTCTCTGTGTGTCTAATCCTGCAGACCCTTTGTAGTAAGAATATTTCTTCCCTAAGGCACACAATCCTACGGAAAGAAACAAGGAAATAATTCATTGCCCCAATTTCCAATCAACAGCTTTATGATCGCAAGAAGCCTACCCTGCATACATAGATGCAAGCCTTCTTTAAAAAATAAAAATATTTACCCCTCAAAATATTTCCTCTCCTCCCTTCCAGAACTAGAAAAGGATTAGATTTTATGAAAGAAAATGGGCAAGCAGCCAATATGCAAAGCTATTTTTAATGCAAAAAATCTAAACTGCCTCCAAAGAGATTTTGTGCTATGAGATTTGCAGCACTGTAATTCTAAGCCAGCCACATTAGATTTTGCAGAGGGGGACGTTAATAAGTTTGGCTACAGAAAGCTGATAGCTGTACTGAGCCAAATTTACTGCACTGTATCAGCCAGAAAGCTACTTTTATAAATTCTAAATTTTTCTGCATTAGGGTTTGTAACAGCAGTGCCAGCTTTTATCAATGTTTGTGTGAGATACTTCTTGATGTGAGGCTCCCAGCCTTTATACAGTGATTGCATCAAAGTCATCCTGATAACCTGCTGAGCAGGTCCCCTCCCCTAGCTGTACCCCTAGGCTAAAAGCCTGTCCCCCAAACTGGGTTGTGGGTTTTTGTTGGGTTAGCTGAAAACAGCTGATAGGGAAAAAAAGGCATCACTCAAAAACTCAGGGAAGTTGGATACACCAAACGCTTTGGAAGTACTGTGATAAATTGAGCACAACAAACACAGCATCTCTCTGCTGGGCCACGGCTGGCAAGTTCACAGGCACCACTGAAAGGCCAATTGACTTCAACAGCGACGTTTTTTCATTTAAAACTCATCTGCTTTCAAAGAAGCCTTACTTGGCATTCTACAGAAACTTTCTGAAGTAATTTCCATCCAGCGCTCTATTCAATTTCTAACAACGTCTTATCTTGGACAATTTCAGAAATGAAGTAGGCACAAAAAGTATGATGCAGTTTATGCCTAATCTTCAGTCTTACTGTCAAAATAGCTTGTGTCATCCTCGGACTCCAACTGGGGGATGAATTCAGCTTTCTGCCGAAGTAATCCATTCCAGTCCAAATCCTTAAAGAACCGATGCTGTTTCACTTCAAAGGCACTACCTGAAAGAAGAATCTTTTATTGCAGGCTATTTCTTTCAGCATTTGCATAACAAGAAAAACAAACCCTAGAAATATCAAGAGTCTGCAAGAATGTACCTGAGTACATCTAAGTCGTGCTTTTTCCAGGAATTTTGAGAAACAACTCATCCTCAAAGTGGTTATACAGAGTAAAATCTGAATGATATTTCTCCCTTCCTACCTCCTCTTCATATTTAATGACAACACATGACTAAACGGGCAGGAAGACAGCATCTGTTATTACATTCTACAGAAAATTGCAAGATTAAGAACTAATTAACATATTAATTTGAATTTTCCAAACTCTAAATACCGCCTTGCTCATAGCTAAATAAAAAGAACAAACTAAAAGGTACTTAGCATGCGAGTAGCTCCGCTTTCACAAACTCATCCATTTGCTTAAATCAAGGCAGGGCTTACGTATCTTCCTGAATTAGTATCTTTTAACTACTATCTTCTGAGTTATTAACCTCGTAAGTACACAAAAGGAAAAACTAAGAAGGATTATCTGCATGCTAGCATGCGGGCTTATTCTTTTTCCAGATGAAATTAATATTCATAATAGATGTCACTGCCTTTTTTAAAAAAAGAATAGCAGAGGAAAGGAGATGAAAGGTTTGCTGAGTGCCAGTGGCAGTAAGAGATGCCAAGTGGAACAGCAATCTCAGCATTACAGGTATATAAGAAATCAGAAAATCAGTCCATCAACTCACGTTGTAAGGCAAGAAACTCTACATCTTTTCTGTGACAGAAACGCCTTTCAAGTACACAGATTTCAAGTAGAAAAAAACATGTGAAAATCATCTGATTATATTATTAATTCATGACCTATTCATCACCCTCATATGCACATGGGTTAGGTCTGCAGAATACATGCCTGTTGTAATTGCTATACATTTTGGGCTTTTTTTATCCTTAAATTGTGGTTTTCCAATCAAAAATCCAAAATTAAATCAGACAAATCAAGTCAACAAAACAGATAACCTGTCCAACCCACGTTGGACAAATGATTTTAAAACAAGTGGGCTGTTGAAGTTTGTTGGTATTTCTTTACTACCAGGAAATGAGAAGCATTGGCTCGTAAAACTTCAAATCTGATATTATAATACAAAAAGATTAACGTACGTATCTGACTTTGCCAAACAGATTATCAGACTTTGTTGCATGTTTGGAGGATTCTCCAGTAGCCCTCTAAGAACACGTGAGTTTTCATTTATTTTATTATGCCCATGAGCTCACTTCAGTGTAGGGGATTAAGCCCCCAGTTGAAGGAATTGCAAAGAAATCTGATCGTGCACTGCTCGAATTGAGGCAAAATCCTCAATTCTGAACTAGAACGGTAGAGATTTGAGAAGTTACATTGCGAACTTGATGGCGCCCTTTCCTTGTTTTCCAGACAATACAGTAATATTTCTTAGAATCATAGGAAGGTTGGGTGGAGAGGACCTTCAAGATCATTGAGCTCCAACCCCCTGCCTTGGGCTGGCTGCCCCCACCAGATGAGGCTGCCCAGGGCACCATCCAGCCCAGCCTTGGGCACCTCCAGGGATGGGGCACCACATTCTCTGGGCAGCCTGCCTGAACTGTGTGCGCATTACTTTTCAGAGCTTCATCAAATCCTGCATAAAGCTTTCCCCAGCTCCATACCAGGATTTTTCAACACGGATTGGTGTGCCTCACAGCCACAGTAGCTTCTTTTCATGCTTCTGGCATTTCCTATACGCTAGGCCCCTACCTGTCCCCATTCTTTCCAGAGGATTCTGGCGGAGGAGCTTAGAAATGAGGTCCTGGGCATCTGGCGGCAGTGCATCATCACCTTCTGGCCAGGCAATTTCATCTGGGGACAAAAAAAGACTTGACATTTTCTACCTGCTTCATGACCAATTTGAATAACCATTCACATTCCTACACTGTAAAATGCAGTGCTCAGTACTTCCCCAGAATTGCAAATACCTTGAATTCAGCAGCTTGCATACTTAACATAATTCAAGCATTGACATTTTCCAAAATGCATAAAATCCAGCCTCAGCTAGTGCTGCTGTCAATCCAAGCACTGCTTGTGGAGGAGAAAAAAGCATTAAGAACTCTATTAATAAAGTATGAAATGGGACTTCCATGACAATCCATAAACAATGACACTGACAATACTGTGGCTGTACCTCATGCCCACACATTCCACACTAGTTAGACTTGGAACAGAGCGAACAATTTGCAGGTAAGCATTTCATACATTAAGTTTACTTCTTCACTGAAATTCACTTCTTACAAAGGATATTTGCCAAGTGTGTTAAAAATGTACTGTTTCAGAAAGCACTCCCAAATAGAAATGTTTTCAGTGGCATATTCATTGAGAAATGACAGAGCTATTAAGCTAGATAGTACTCGACAATTTTCAATAGCTGGAATCAAGACAGATGTTACTTTGACACAAAGATAAATGCTTGCAAATTAAAAAGCCTTTGCTTTACATCCAGTCTTTCCTGAGCAAACTATCGAACCTCAATATTTTCAAGCATTTACTTTGCAGCAGAACAGGAGCAGAACAGAAACATACCACTGATCACTTGTCCAAACAGCTCCTCAGGTGTGTCACCAAAGAAAGGAACGCAGCCAACCAGAAACTCGTACAGGATGACTCCCATGGCCCACCAGTCCACCGGCTTCCCGTAGCCCTGCCGGAGGATCACTTCTGGGGCAATGTATTCCGGAGTCCCACAGACCTCGAGGGAAACACACAAGAAAGCAATCACCTTCAGATTGCCAAATTCAAATCATATTCTGTCTGCATATGTCTATCTGCTTGACGGATTGCTACTGGTATGACTATATTTATCAGGGACTGAATTTTTGACACAACTCCCACTTCTCTGCATCAGCAGAATTTAGTCCCACTGATGCAGAATTAGCAACTCAGCGTGGTGATAAACGTCATCATTTAAACTTGGGATGTACAGTTGGCACAACCGCTAAGGACTTCATGTTGGAAGTACCAGGTTGCCTTGGGCTTCAAATCAACAACAGAAGCAAAACAGCTGTAAAAAAACATAATACTGCAAAATGCAAGACCATGAACTAGTGACCAGAGAACACCTGCTACAAAAAAATACCATGATTCAGAAGCAAAAGGAGACATGGTCCCGGGTGTGCTCTTAGTTTACCACAGGATGATTATGAATTAACAGTAGGCACAGAAAAACAAGAAAATTCTGCTGTGATCCTAGGTATTTTCAGAAGAGATAAGCACTTTTAAATCCCATTATACATGGCACCAGAAGCCTGTATCCAGAATATATTATATAGTTCCTGTTAAAGATGCCCAGGAAATCAAGCTGAAACAGGTGCATGGAAAAGCTATTAATTAATCAAAGGAAAATCTATCCCACTATCTAAAAGAACTTGGCTGGTTAAGCCTAGCAAAATGAAGGCTAAGGGGGAAAGAGACCCCTAGCAAACACCAAGGCAATGAAAATCAATTATTAAGCCATCAGACAAAAAAAGAGCCTATAGGAACTTGCCACAAACTTTCTAAGCACCAGAAGGGGGAGACTGCGAAACAACCTTCCAGCAAAAGCTGTATTACATCCCTAAAAGAACTGCTGCACACCTTTGATGTCCTGAACTAAGAGCTGAAGCACACCACTTTAAAACAAGGAACTGAAACAAAAAACAATACAAACTGGTGCACAGGTAGAAGAAAGGACTCATATCTTTTCCTCCCATTGTAAAAACAGTAAGCTCAAGCTTACCTGCTTGTCCAGAAATTCCCTGGTATCCTTTTCAATGTGTCCCTCGTAAAGGTTAGTTGTAAGACTCATTAACCCAATTTTAGACAGTCCAAAGTCTGTAAGTTTAATGTGACCCATGGAAGTTATCAGGAGACTAGAAGAAAGAGAAGCAAAATAATCCAACATTCAATTAATTGTTTCCCAAAATGAATTAAAAACAGAAGAACACAAGGCAATGCTAAGCACGTTCCCAGTGTTCTCATAAACTGGAATAAACCTCCTATGAAACAGAACATCGTGGAGCAGCTAAGGCAGGCAGAATTCAGGCTGCTTTCTGCCATATTTCAGCAGTGGAGCAACAGCTCTAAGGTAATATTTGAAGATGTTCATCCTATTCCCTCTGTGTCTGCTTTCTAAGTTCTACACATCAATAGCAAGAGACTCCCTAAAACCTCCTGCATGTTAGATGTCATCAAGAATTGGTACTGTCTCTAGCCACCTTATGCTCTTGCCCGTGAAGAAAGCCTCTGAAGAACTGGCTCTCATCGTAAAGCTTTGGAAGAGTTCAAGACTTACTTGTCAGGTTTTAGGTCACGGTGAACAATCCCATAATTGTGTAGGTACTCCAATGCTAGAACAGTCTCAGCAAAATACATCCTCGCCATATCAACGGGCAGGGCACCGATGTTCTTGAGAAGTGTCGCACAGTCACCCCCTAGAAATAAGTTCCAAATACGGCACAGTGAAATGGCAAGTGTCAGCAACAAAAAAGAATGGCTACAGCACAACAGTACTAGATAACTACAGAGAGCTTCCCAAAATCTGTCTCCTTCAACCTTGTTATATGGAACTCAAAACTCCCTCTTGAACTTCAAATAAATACAAAAATCCTAGTGCTATGGATTCAGCCATACCATCCCCTAAGAGAGCAGGAGGATCTCTTTCCAGTGAGGACTGGAAAGTTCATACTGACTTCTGACCCCAACAGCTTTTCTACATGTGGCTTTATAATTCCTCATCTCCACTGTGATCATGTTGGATTAGTCACTGGGATTCAGAAATGAAGTATCTTCTTATGCCAAGCTATACTAGGGGTAGAATGACTCACTTCTCCAGCCAAAGCAGTCCATATACTCTTACTTAAAAGGATTTCATCACCTCCCTTGTAGCTGCAGGGTTGACTGACCTCACTCTACACGAAGAAAGAAACAGCACACACCTAAGATATTCTTCCCATTTTCTGCAATCAGAGCAGTGTGATCATCAGTATCACATCCAAAAGTACATTTCTTATAAATCACTTGGAAACAGCATCCTTTGAGATGAAACACGCTGTATACAGGCTACGTGTACATCCTAAGAGCCATTTGCTCTTTGTAGGTTATGACAAACATACCTTCCACGTACTCCATAACCATGCACAGATGGCGCTTGGTCTCAAAGGAGCAGAACATGCTGACTACAAAGGGGTTCTCAGCAAACGTCAAGATATCTCTCTCAACAAATGCCTGCTGGATCTGGTTCCTCAAAATTAGGTTCTGTTTGTTGATCTTCTTCATGGCAAAACGTTGACGGGTGGTCTTGTGGCGCACCAAATACACCGCTCTGGAAAATCACATACCAAGAAAAAAGTTCCATCTTCTGTTTGAACTATTTAAAGAAACAGTGGATGATAATTCTTTTGGATGGATTCTGATTGACTATCTGTGATTCCATAAAATCTCATCTCATTGCCTATCTTCTTCCCTAGAAAATGAGGAACGCCACAATGCTGCCCTTCAAAACCTATTCTGCCTTTGAGAATTACGGAACATTTTTGTTGATGTGGCTAAAAAGGAAAATTATATATTTCAGGCACAAATATCACAAATTTCTTTAAGTATCAGTGCGATGGGGCTTATATTTTTCAACACTATAGTCACCATTTCACTAAAAAAAGAAAGAAAGAAAAAAGTCCAAAAAAAGTATGAAATCAGCATGATTGCTTTCCAAACTCCATAAAATTAACTTGATGCAACACTGTCACCAGGGATTTCCTTCAGTATCTCTTACATTTCTATCATTTGCAGATCATTAGATTCCTGCACATTAATAATACAGTTTGCAAATAAAATTTTCATCCAGTTTCCCTGCCTGATTGAATCAGTACTTGCTTCCTTTTCTCTAGAGTATATTACATTTAACATGGTATTTTGTCTCACAAGCAGCTGACTATAAAACACACCCAGCATGGAGACAGGAATAAGTAACAGCAGAACTACACCTCTCCCCAATTTTTGAAAATTTATGTTTAAACCATGGAGGCTAAGCAGATATACGACTGAAAACATACAAAAGCTTCTTATCTGACAATACGGAGCTTCAACATGCTCCATCATGTCTTCAAAGACCAAAAAATGCACTTTTTCCACTGTTTTGTTTTTTAATTTGCTGTTAAATATGCACTCACTTCAACAAAATACTCAAGCACATGCTTAAGTTTTGTTGGTTATTACCTACTGAATCACTGCTCTTAGTTATGGCCTAATGAATATCCCTGGTAATGATAAAGAGTCAGGAATCTTTCAAATTCTGGATAGACTGTACAACTAGTTCAGATTTTAACTGACCAGCAGCTTCATCCTCGATTCTTTAATGAATAACAAAATCTAACAGCACTCTTACAGTATGACAGATTTCAGCAGATTCGCCCCAATGTATTTGAAGAGCTCACAAACAGCCACAAAAACATAATCATAAATGGAAGAATGGAAAACTATAAACAAAGCCTTCCTCAATGTTCCTGCTGTTTGACTGAGTCACTAATAACATTTAACTACAGAATGTCACCCACACCCACTGAGGTAGCCTTCATACAAACAGAAATCACAGGACTTCAATACTCAGCACTGAAGGAAATTCAGGCAGGGAGGCCTTGATAAGCAGTAAAGAAATGGGTACAAAATAATTTTCTCAGACTCTTAAAACTCCCTTAAAAAAAAACCCCAAAAACTACCACCACCCATTGTTTAGGAAATCCCACAGTAAACTAGGGGGGGGGGTGAACTATCAGTTCAGTACAATGTTAAGGCTGTCATAGTTGGGAACTACTTCCAGGTATGGGGGTATAGGGTAAGAAATCCAGAACACATAAAAGAAATGGCATCTCAACCAAGGACGCAGAAGACATCACAAGTGTGGGACTCAAGACCTCAGCAAAATTCATTTATTCTTCGGGCCCAACAAAGTCCAAGCACTTCCTTAGCTTTGCTATAATGCCTTGCTGGGTAGAATGACAGCAGCATTTTCTTCTAAAACAAAACCTAGAATGTCTTACCCATAAGCACCATTACTGATCAGTTTAATAGTTTCAAATTCCTCTTCGGATGGAGTTTTCTTTGACTGGACGGAGGCTCCACGGCTCTGGGGAAAGAAGACAAAGAAAAAGAAATGAGGAGTGCAGGAACAACTTCATTCTATATGCCACTTCTTTCTGTCCATTTCTTCTTTGAGTATCATTCATCCAATCTCAATCCATCTCTAAAGCTCAGGAGCCCTCAGCTTTGGGATAACTGTCAGTACTCCCAGCAGCCAGCACATTCGCCCCACAAGCATTAGCATGGTAAATCAGAGGGCTTGGACCTTTTCCAATATTATTTAAGTACAAATAAACTAAAAAACTACAGAAGTTTGAAAATTAATGAATTATATAACTAGGTTTTTCCACCAGTTGATACTAATGTCATCTCTCTTCAATTCTCATCATGTTTTACAAATGCAAATAAAGTTTCTCCAAATGATTCTTATGCGCAACTTGAAGAAACATCAACAAAATCTGATGCTAATGCCTGTTTGCATCTTCAATGATTTCACCTCCACACTGCTGAGATTTGCACGTTTTTATAAGTGTATACTTTAGTTCTAATGTGCACTTTTGAATGTCAGCACTTTTCTCCTCTTTTAATTAAAATTACTTTGCATTATCATTCATCCTTTATTGCAGACTACCTCTTTGCAGAGAAAAAAAAGAGCGCCAGACAGTATTGAGTGTATTACTGCTTTACCTCGACTGAATCATCTGTCTCAGGAGTGTCTGGGCTGTCATAGCTATTTAGCTGGGCCATTTCTGAAAAGAAAGAGGAGAGATTACTCCTAATGATCTCAATCAAACACTATTCTCTTTGTTTGTACAAGACAAACAGGATTTCAATGGGTGCTTGTAGATTATGAAGGACATACTTCCCCCCCTCCATAAAGAGTCACCCCAATTATACACTGCTAACCTTTAACATCCTGTAAACTGTAGGCAATCTTTTATATAGAGGTTAATATAATTAATTGCCCTAATCTCAGCATCACTTATTCTAGATGGTTTCTAAAATAAGCAACAAATGCAAGTTAGGGGAAACTGCTGGCTAGGTAATGTTAAACCTATTCCAAGCATAGTGCCCCGTGGCACCTCTGTCCTCCAGAAAAGAAAGAGAATTACATTTCATACAACCTCTCTCCATGAAATGTGTCTGAGTTTGCAAAACGCTGAGTAGCAGCTAACTGTGAGAAATGCAGTTAGTTTAGGCAACTCAGCTGTCTTAGGAGATGCTATAAACTTTGCAGAACTAAATCCTACATTAACTACTGGTCTCTGAACAGACATCACTGACATTTCTGGGTGCCCTCCTTACAGAAAGGAAATAAGGCACCTTGACATCTCCACACATTTCTAAAGAAAATTTGACTTTAGTAAGGGGAATTAGTGATGGAAAGGTTCTCTCCCATGACAGGGATCAAAGAAAATTTCTCTTTAATGTCAGATTTCAACAAATGCTATTAAATTGCATTTAGCAATCTTTGGTATAAATTTTCCCGAAGAGCTCTTCACTTGAAGTCAACCTGTCACTGTCATTCGGGTAAACACCGTACAAGTTAAACTAGACCTATCCAGACTACTAATTTATGCTAAAATTATGCTCTCTTGAGGAAACAAAAAGTACAGTTCAATCGCTGAAATATTCTGCAGCAATCTCCAGTCTCTGTCACACTTTCTATTGTTGCTGAGCAAGCCATGCGCGCTCGTGAAACTTGTCATAGGAGAAAGTCAGTTAGCAAAGTGCCAGACAGAAATATTAACTCACAAATTCCAAAGTCAGGATCTTCTGGGGCCATCTACATTTACAACATATTCAAGTTACTGTTTGCAATTCTGGGACCTAGCAGAAAAGCTGTTACTTTCTTCTAAAACATTACTCATACAGGAACCTGAAAAGCACTGTAATCTCACAGACCTGATCAAACCTGGATGTAACAGGTAAAAAGCAAATCTGTATGGCTTCTTAGAAGTGTATGAAATGTTGAAGCTCAATTTCCAACATTTCTTAAAGCTGGAAGGAGTAAAGTAAATCATCTTCATCACAAACTAGACTTACTCTGAATATAAATTCATGTTAATTATCATGAACTGTCTGGGAAAATATCTTTTGGGAACAGAAATAAACACTTTTATATCCAAGAGAACTCCCAATTAACTGACGTTATGTTTATAACAGACCTACTTTAGAAAATTCAGAATATATCAACTCTCCACTGAATCATGCATCGATATTGCTGCTATTCTCACATGAAGTATTCAGTTATCAGACAATCCAACGAGGCACTCTTCCTCCTACTCTGGTGATGCACTGTGTTGGATATAATCTAGTCTTTTCGGTTTCACTGCTATTTAAGATGTAGAAATACAAACGTTCCACTCAAAAATCTGCACTAATCCTGGCTTCTCATGGAAAACCTCAACTTCTCCCAGAGAGGACAACAAATGAACTGAACAAATGACTGAATCCAACTCAGTAGCACTCCAGCAGTGGCAGAACAGAAATAATATATTTAATTTTAGTGACCAATAGCCCAGAGAAAACAGTTACATCACAAAGCCATCTTCTATCATTTTTTTAGCTGTAATACAGGCAGACATTATTAACACCATAAGTAAAGAACTGTCAATTGTGATGCGTGGTCCTTAACCCAGCAATACTCCTCTGAGATGCGGGGATGGAAAGGACAGTCTGGAATTTGACAGCAAACAGGAAAATAAAGAAAAATGGCCTATAAGTTAACTAACAATAATAAAAAAAAAAGGCTCCTTGAGCTTGTGATGACCAGGAGTTGAGAGTCTGGAGATCTGGTTATCCTCTCAGTAGTGTGGTGAGTACAGAACCGGAGCTCTCACCCTCCAGGGGATCCCTGGTGAGTCCCAGCTGGCTGATAATGTATCGAGGAATGTCGCACTTAATTCCTTGTCCTTCCTTGGCATGGCCTTCTGCTGCTTCTAACAAGTGGTAGAACTCTTCAGGATCAAACTCCTAAAGCAAGGTGGTGAGACAGACAGAAAGAGGGGCACATGATTCAGCTTTACAATTACAAGATTGCTATACAGGAGAGAGAGAGAGAGAGTGGGTTGAATTATCTGGATTCCTCAGAAACACTCAAAGCTAATTCTGGGCTCAGCAAGCATTTCATCCTGCTCTGCAAAAATAGTGCACATCTATAGTCTGCTGGCTGTATATCTGCCATTCAAAACATGACAAGGACAGCAGGAATGTTAATGAAAACCAAACTATCAGATAATATGGTCATCATAATGTAAGTGTTAATCTGGACCCCCAGCTTACCTTTGCCATTGAGATGTCCTAATGAGAGGTCTAAAGAGAGCTGAAGTATCTTTTGCCCTCTCTGACAGGTGAGATAAGCCAATATGAAGCTCTCCTACTTTCAAATATCACTTCTAATCAAACCATAAACCCATTCACCTCATTTTGTAACAGTCCCAATATTAGAAATCACTAATAGAATTGTTAATAAAATTACTAATCTACCAGCAGAATATTTCAACCTCTGTATAAGAAATACTGTTACAGGGTAGGTGGTGGATTATCCTATCAGCTCAGGTTTGGTATACTTGGAAAGCAAAGATTATAAGCAGGTGTGATCTCTTTTACTGCACCAATAGATATAGTTGGAAATCTAGAACAACATTTGGGTGCAAGAGCACTGCTGCAAGATCACAAAATTACTGTAGTTCTGCCCCTACAAACCTCATCATTCATCATTTGAGAGCAATGAGGAAGGAAGATTCTTCCAAAATTTTTTAGTGAAATGTTAACAAATTACCCAAAAAAAAAAAAAAAAAGGAAAATCGATTTAATTTCCATGAGAATGTAAAGCCTTCTCTTGTGTTCCTTATCTCCTGAGGTGTCTCTCCCAAGGCCCAGACTCACCAGGCACTCCAGCAGCCGAGCTGGTCGCGCTATGATGATCATCAGCTTCTTTACCAGTTGGGTAACAAAGGCAACCTCAGAGCTCTCGGATCGCTCGTGGGCCTGTGGAGAGCAGCACATCACATTGTGTCCTAGCAGAGAACTCCTCATTTATATATGTCAAAGCTCAGTCGCTGTAATTCGGCAGCAAAGTCATGACGGAGTCAGGCCAGGCAATGATCTCAGCTCACTCAAGGATGCCAAGTTACATACAGCTTTCCCATTCCAACTGACTCCTTTTATCATGGAAGAGCTATTTCGAAGGCTTTACTTGCATTATATCACCTTTAAGTTGTATTTGATATGATGTGGTCTTTCTTTTTTTTTGTAATGAAAACAGGATTAATGATTTTTTCAATTTTACCTTCCACACGATGCTGAAATCTAGACAATGACCAACAGTTACACCTATTTTCAGGCTGCATTCAGCTGGAATTCCAACTACTTCTGTTCATCATCACGGAAAACCTGAACTTTGTTTTCTCTCAGTTCCATTTCATAAACCCTGCCTAACAACTCCAGCACTGTACTGCATGCTGTGGTGTACGAAGCACACCAACAAAGAACATACAGAAACCTAACTCAGAGACTTTACTCCTGTCCTCTCCTTTTGATTTGCGGGACTTGAGTATGAACTCAGTGTTTAGTTTCAAGGGGAAGGAGGGAGATGCCTTTTTACAACAGTAAATACATTAAAATGGGTAAAATAGAAAGCAAAGACAAATTTGAGCACCAAACCCATGCAACCCCAATTAATTCTTCTTTTGCTCAAAACCTTTCTGGCTACATAGGGAGTCCTGAAACACAAATAACAGAATATTTCACTGTAAGGTCACAAAAGATGGTTCCAGGGACATGAAAAAACCTCTGAAATGAAGTATAGCTTTTTCTTTCCAAGGTCAAAAAACAGGCTTTAGCACACTCACAAAGTCCAGAACTTAACCAATGTTCTTATGCTGGCAATGAGCCAGTAGTTGCTTATAGGAGTGATATTTTATCAACGTGCAGCAAGAAATGAAAAGGCTTGTTTAGCATTGTTCATTAAAACCACCTAAGAAAAAGACATATATGGCTAAGAAGCCAAAACACACATGAAATCACCTGGAAGAACAATAAAACACAGGGAGATAGAAATTCATAGCTAGAAAAACCACATAATTGCTAGTTCATCATCTGAAAACAGCATCAGAGATGCTTCCTGGTAATAAGAGTCTTACAAAAATATATTTTGAAAGCATTGAAATAAATTGAGATCTTTTTTAGACGATATTTTCTAATTATAAAACACAGAATAACCAAAATGAAGGTGCTTAGTATTCACTCAGTGCCCCTTAATGCAATATCCAAACTCGTAAGTTACAATATGAATTCTATAAAGAAATTAATGCTTTCATAGCTGAAAAGCCACTCCAGATCACCAGGGGTTAGCTGCTTTGGAATGAATAAATAAAACATCAACAACTTTGTATTATATGAAACACGAGACATGCAATTGGAATATCCTTTCCCCCCTTGCATATTATGAAAATAGACGTATATACATTTATGGCATCTGCTTATGGTGCTGAAGCAAACTTATTCTTTTTAATCAAGTCCTTTTGTTTTCTCTCTTTCTCATCTTCCCCAGCTTAGGCAAAATAATTTAAAAACGTAACTAATGTAATCAGGTGTCTGTGATGAAAATGAGAAGCCAGACCATGACTGCCAAACAAGAAAGAAAAGGGAAAAAAACAACACCACAACAGAGTAGAGGATAGCAAAAATGAAACACAACTTGGAACAGCCACTCAGCCTTCATCTCTGCACAGCGCTGCTCGTCCAAGATCCGCAGCAGCACTGCCTCTTCTTGCTTCCTTCTCCCCCAGGACAGCTCTGACATCCCTACAGACGTCTTGTTTAGCAGCCGTCCCAGCAGTGTCCCCAAAGCAGGCAGGGTTATATAGTGCTGCTGCCTCCATGTGTCTTGGTGTGATGTGGGACACCTCATTAGCAGCTCCCAATGACGACATGCTTGTCTGAAGGTTGGCAGTGTCATTTCAGGGTCCCCCCCCCCGCCTCTCGAGGGGAGGGGAGAGGAGCTGAGGGGCTGTGGGAGAGGCTGATGCCATTCCTGCACACATTGCCAGTGACACGTGTACGGGAGGAAGCGAGGGGTAATTTACAAACCGATTCCCTTATCTGAAAGACCCATCCGTCACTAACTGTAGCCACTGGGGCATGAAATTAAAATCACCATCCTCCCCTGGGGTTTCACGGGACCAGTAACCAGGATATGCAAGTCACAACGCTGTAATTGAGCTAATATACAGATGGAAACCAAAACAATAGACCTGCAGTGCCAAGAAACAATAAATTTACACTTAGGCTCATATTAAGAAAGCAATTCCAATCAGAGTATCAATTTTCCAATGTGCAGTATCACTGAACATAGTGTAATACCACTACCTTCCTCTTTTCCTTTTGTTGAATGCACAGAAATACCTGCAGTCCTTCATTCCCTCCTCCCAGTGGCTGAGCCTACATAAAGCCATGGAACTTTTGGGTAGTGTTCCTTGCTCTTTGGCATGGAGGCACTTCAACCAAGAAAACAACTCCTATCACCTTTTTCATCGAAGGAACCTGAGCTCCTGTTCTATCCCCTAAGCAACCCCCCATGCTAATGGAATCACAGAATCAACAAGGTTGGAAAAGCCGTCCAAGATCATCCAGTCCAGCCGCCCACCTATCACCAATACTTCCCCCCTAAACTTTAAGGTCCCTTATTACATCATCTAAACATTTCTTCAACACAATATATAAATAACCAGACGTCCTCTTTTTTTTCAATAGCTATTTTAAATGTAAAGGATAGCATCCAAGTTCATGTTTCCCAAAGTAAAGAAAAGCTATTTCATTTTCTACTTCAGGATCGTTTCAGTGATGCAATAAGCAATAGCAATGACTAAAAGACAGTATTTCACGCTCCAAACGAGAAAGTATCTCATTTGCCATAACTAATGAGATTTGTTGGCATTTTATTACAAAAGCCAAGATCTAGAAACCTTAAAAGCTTTCTGGCTTGGTATATTTAAACAGCTCATTATTTACATATCCAATTACTCTATGCTACAGATACATTTTCACAACATAAAGTAGCCTCAACCTGCAACCTATTTAATGGAGTGTTCTTTCTGTGGTTTGAAATTACTGTGTGAATTTCACAGTAAAATTCTATGAAAATCTGTGGGCCTTCCTGATAGTTCCTGAGCTACCACTACTCATTTCCTTACTGATCAAGCAGTCACCTTCTCAATCTTTCACATTTTATAAAAATATACCATAAGACTATATATCCTACTGCACAGACCACCAAGTGAAGGACTTTTGGGGTTGGTTGGTTTTTTTTTTTTTTAAGATTCTACTTGATCTTATTTCTATAGCATACAACTGATTCTAGGTCTCCCAGTGACAGTCAATATCTGAATCTGTTATTTTTGCAAATCCTGTACTTGTGGCTTGCTATCTCCTTAAATCAAAGCAGAGAATTAGAAAGATGTTCCCAAACAGAGGTCCAAACCCTGCAATAAGTAACAGCACTGACTGCTCACAACAGCTACAGCATAATATTAACTTCAAAAAATCCCTCAGAATTTATCTTAAAGGAAAAGAGCAATTTTAATGAGCAGCTGAAGCATACTGAGCACACATTAAAATTGTGCCCCCTTGTGTATTTTCAAATGCTTTGAACACCACAAAACACATCGAAGTAGTAAAAAAATTACCCACAACTGAATTAAGTTCAACTCAGGAAAATCTTTTATGAAAAATTTATAGCAACACTACAAACTGTGGTGCTTTCACTCCTTGAAGGCACTATTGTAATTAATAAGTCATTGACAGTCCTGAAGTACATGAAAGAAAAGTTCAGTAATTTCCTTCATCTGTATGAACCCAATTTTCATAAATTGTGAAGACTGCCTTTGACTTACTCACATGCATATTTAGCCTTTGTACAAAGATGTACACAGGTGAAGTGACCCGCTTAAATCCGCCCATGGTGCATCAACAGCGCTTTGGAACGCCCCACGCCTCCTGACACCCCTCCCCACTGCCCTTCCCCTCTCCTGAAATCAAAGCTCTGCCTTATTGTCTACAGCTTCCATCACCATAACATATTCTACTTCTCAAGAGCACTTACATCCTGGAGAAGTTTCTCCAAGTTTTCCTGCAGCTCATAGAAATAGCGAGAAGTAATGAGACCTTCACGTGACTTATCTAGGCAGTCTCTAGCCAGCTCAATAACTTGATGGTGGATGAAACTTAGGACCCCATCTGCTAATTGCAGCACGTTCTCTGGAGCATTGGAGGCAATAAACTCCGCCAGCCGCTCTTCCATCTGCGCTGTGGCCTAAGAGTACAGAATAAACAAATTATTCTTAAAATCTGACTATCCCAAAATCTAAACATAGACAAGCAGGGTTCTATAGTCACATCCTCAATCCCAAAACGCACCAGGCTTAAAAAACTGTCCAAAATACAATGACAGTGTTTTGCTTTGAATAAAAATATTACTCTGTAGGCAAAAGCTGCATTCACAAGAAGAAACAACAACATTTAATCAGACATGCTACTTGAAAACGGAAATGACTATAAAAATATCCTGCTTCTGAGGCTGCTTTCCTCCCAGGTCTCCAAAATAAGGATGTGAGATACAAGGCAGCTCTCAGAAATTGTAGGCAAGAGCATGAAATCTGAAAATCATTGCCCCAAGCAACAGACAGACAGCATCTCTTTCACTTTAGGCCTCGATATTCTGTCACCAGAGCAACATCTATTTTTACTATTGGTAAAGCAGAAAGGGAATGGTCATATTGACAGCTCTGGGATAGATGAATGTCTGCACTCATTTCAGTGAGGCATTAACTCTGAAAACTTGATTCCACGGATTTCAATATTCAGCTTTAAAAGAAATAAGCAAAAAACCCTCCGTTTTATTTTCATTGCAATCACTTCAGTACCGAAATAATTTGCTTTTCTGAAAACTCAAGTTTAACTTCATTGCTTCTCTGGTACCAAAGGCCCCAGTGGCAAGCTTTGCTTTTGTCAAAATCTCTAGCGTAATTTGGAATGACTATAAAAGAAAACATGCTTTTCCAATATGTAAATGTAAAGCCTACCAAGACAAAAAAGTTTGGATTGGTATAAAGCAAACTTAATGTTATTATACAGAGAATGTTGGGAGAATGTTACTCAAAGTATTTTTAAATTACTGTCCAAAACAGTTTGTTTAAGCTAAGCATTCTTCTTCCAGCAGGGTCAGAATTCAAAGCAGAAGCTGAGGGTTAGTTTGCCCAGAGGGTTGGAGAATGCCTTGCAGACATTCAGGGTCAGGCTGGATGGGGCTCTGAGCATCTGATGGATCTGTACGTGTCCTGTTCACTGGAGTTGGACTGGATGGCCCTTAGAGGTTCCTTCCAACTCAAATGACTCTATGATAATATATGGAGATGCTGGCTTCAAACAAGTGAAATGGATCGCGTAGCCACAGCATGGCCATTCTCCTCATTCCCATGCTCATTTATCTTGCCAATTGTGAGAAAATTCACATGAAAATGCCAAAATGAGAAATTCAGTAAATACAAAGTACATACATAATACGCAAAGCCTTTCATACTTTTCTATCTGAATATACTTCATCTATTTTTTTTTCCACTGCAGAATTAATACAGAAATTTATAGAAAGCAGCTTCCAAACTGCACTGCTCAGAAATCAGAGGTAAGACAAGGGGTCCATCACAGTATTACAAAGTAACTGAGCTTTGTCACAAGTTCATTGACTGCATTATTCAAAAAGTGATTCCTTACCTTTGGAAACCTTTCTTTGTACACATGGTTCATCATTATTATTTCACTGTCAAAGGAAATTGGAGAGCGACCCGGGCTAGAGGAGAAAAGAAAATACATCATCATTTACAGGCATCACAAACATCGCTCACCCTGTCTGCGGGGGGCAGACAACCAGCTCCTTGCAAGCCCCAACACAGGGACACAGACAGAGTGGGACACATGTTACAGGTACATCTGCCATTGCTTGCTGTCTCATTGCCTCCTTGGCGATGGCACCAGGGCTGCACAGAAGTCCCTGATATCTCCAGTCTGCAGCGCCAGGAAGGCATAGAGGAAGTGCAGAAGGACCCTGAGATGCTTTTCCTGTCCTTTGTCTGCTGCAGCAGGGATGCATGAACAGTGCTATTCAGCTAAATCCCATATATAAATACCAATGCAATAGGAATAGAACACTTATAGGAAAACTGCACTCCCTTGAGGCACAGTACACAACAGATGCATATGCATGTATGCATAGGTTAACAAGCAACTCCCAAGGCACACCAAAAAAAAAAAAAGGATGGTGAATCTTGGCCAACTGTTTTTATATGACTGTTTGGGTGTTTTTTAAAGAACAGTTGCATCTCATTTCATCACACGTGATGGTACGCAATGCTCTGACTCATCCCACTGCTGAGGGCAGCCGAGTGAGGTAATGCAGATAATCCCCAGCCACGGGATCGCCTGCAGCGCTGCGTTTTCCTGGTGACGTCGCTTTAGCAATTGGGATGAGAGAAGGCTTCTGTTATTTGGCATATTATATGACTGCTGCCCTCATGATTTTAAGAGCCATGCATACTGCTGAACATATTTTCTCTACGTAAAAGCACCCAACAACAATACTATTTGAATCAGTTCAAACATTATAAACTCGCGAACGATGAATCTCCCTACATGGAATAAATGCATTTTAAATTCTGAATGCATTACAGTTCCTACCTTGCTGCTAACCTATTTAGAGGAAAAACATTCTTTCGGGAATAGATATTTACAATTCAGAGAAAATTTAACTCACTGTTTCACAGAATATAGCAATACAAATCTCATTTCATGCCCGGTGCTGGAATTCCATGAATTACGTTGTGCCTTGGGTTCATTAAGTTTCATTCCTCAGCTTGAGAAAATGCAGTTTGGCCTAAATACCTCACTAACACGTATGCTACAAGAGAAAACCTGATGTGGGTGCTCAAATGTTACTCATTAATATATATTCTTAAGAGAAGGCACGTCTTAGCTTCGTAGATAGCTGTTTTTTATAAAGAAACATTTTCTTTCTGAAGAAGCCTACATTTACACTCATAGAGAGTATGCAAGATAATAAAGGGTAAGAGCTTTTAAAAAGTATTTTTTATATATATATATATATATATATACACCTTATTTGGAAGCAAATTTCCCCACACATCTAGCCAACCACATTTATTCTTCTTTCTCTAAGCTCAAACACACCAGCAAAAACACACACTTGTCTCCTGGAAGTTCATCTGGAGCAAAACATTTTGGTGAACATATTTTAGGAGGAATTTATTTTTATGTAATGAACTGTTTCTGTGTGATTTGAGTGAGGTATACATTACAAGGACATATAAATCCTTTGATACTTACTACGGAAATATGTAGGCACATACATATGCCATCTCAATGCTGAAGCAGTACTACTAAAATCTGTGCATGCTTAACTATTTGCTGTCCTACAGCTAAAATGCATGACTTTTTTTTTTTTTTCCTTGCTTTCAAGACATTTTATTCATACGAATATAGGAATTTGAGTGCTCTGTGGACATCATGCTTCTTGGCAGCATTTGTAGCATTTCCTTAAGAGTGGCCACAGTGGTAAGAGGAACTATAGGGCTGTTTCTTACAACTCTAAAACACTGTAATTCTTATTTTCTTTGCACAAGAGCCTACTGATATGCAGAAAGTAAAAACTTAAAATCTCCTTAGCTTCCTTGGGTACTGGCAGATTTCTCTCTCATTTTTGGCAGCTGATTAATACAACTTTTTCATAAAATCATACACTCAGCAAGGTTGGAAGAGATCTCCAAGATCATGCAGTCCAACCATCCATCTACCAACCATTTTTCCCACTAGCCCACCTGGAATGGTGAACACTTAAGCAACTGAGGATAAAAGCCAGGAGGAAGCTTCAAACTCTCATTCTAAATGAAATTCTCCCAATATAACGTGTCAAACTAAATGTCTAGCTGACTACAGCAAGACTGCAGTATATCTATACACTGCCTCATGTTGAGCTTGAGCCAAGAAACTACAGAAATGACTCTATGGGTAAGTGACTAACCAAGGCTGGCTGCCAGGCACTGCTGGTTATTCTACAGCATTGTGGAGACATAACCAGGAGAAAAAGAAGCCAGGACCAGGCAAGTAATGAATACTACTGTCGGAGAATGGAAGAGAATTTTTAAGGAAAAGAAAGAAGTTCAGATATATTGTACAGGATGACAGCTTTTCAAATGCAAAAGCTCTGCACATCTATACAGCACGCACAAGATTTCACACACGGTACAGAAACAGTCTAACATTTCAAGCCTTACAAAGGAACAGATTATTTTCTGTAAAACAGGACACATACTGTGCATGTGCATAACATCTCAAGACAAAAAGCAGGCTGCTTCTCTCTTCCTGATGCAGACAGGCAGGTCAAAGAAATGATTATTGTCAGGGAGTTTTTCATCTCAGCAGAGCAGACATTAGAAGAATAATACCTGTCCCCTTAAGCTTAACAGCAGAATGAAAAACTGCTCTCTTCTTCCCCTTCCCTCCACTTCATGAAATTATGTTGTAGACTTTCAGCGACATCTTTCTCCCACAAAGGTTTTTAGCTTGTCACAACTCAGGTCTCTTTATCTGACACTATAGCTCACAGACAGCTATTTCAAGGAATAGCATATTCATAAATTTAACCTTAAAAAAATTTAGCTGAACAGTGACTACATGTAACTGAGCTGTTTATGAATCTGCATTTTTTTCTCTTTGACAGCTGTAATTAGAAAAATGCAGAGAAGTTAAATGCTCTGTGTCACTTCCAGACACAGAAAAGAACAAATTTTAAAACTATAGAGCTATGGTTACGTAAAGTACAAACAATACATGTCCTGAAGGTGAGCAGAGTGCTGGCCTTCCTCCTCCTCAAAAATTCATTTTCTAAATACTCAGCCTCGTAGAAATCACATCATTACTGGGTGTCAGAAAGCTCCCACTGATAAAGAGAAGGTAATGCAGAAACACCAGATCCAGCACTACACATGGAGCACAGCAATCACACCTTGGGCCTAGTTCTGTTTCTGGACAAGCCAATGGCTAAAAGAAAACTGAGCTTGGCAGAGCAGGATCAATTTTTGAGATAAAATTGGACTGCGTGGGCCACTATTGTGCGCTATCTAATCTTTGGTCCCATCTTGGATGCTTTTTATGATCAATTTCTTCTGATAACTGACATTTTCTAGGAATCACCTCTGTACATTCTTAGTGGCAGGGTCTAGCACATGGGAAGTCACAGTAGAGGACTGTATTAAAGCAGCACTGCTCAGCAACCTGATGAAGCAGCACGCTTGACTGAGGATGATCTCATCTACTTCACCAATATAAAGATTCACTGCTGCAATCTTCAATGCTTTCTATCTAGACAATCTTTTCCTGTAATATGCAAAGAGATCAAGAAAACTGGGAAGACTGGTGGGCAGAGCACATGCACAATGGCAGCTGTTGAAGAAGCCACTGCTAGTTAGCCCTACTGTTATCTCCAGCATCTTCCACTCGTCAGCTGAAGGATGACAAGTGAAGAAAACCAGGGAAAGATGGAGGGCAGCAGCCCAGGTTTTGCATCAGAATACATGCTGTCCATGCATTTTTACACCTGGCAGAGAAGACCTCCTTTGGGTAAAGCCCAGGACTGTTGCAAGAGAAGTGATTGCAGCCCAGGCAGCTCTCTGTAATCAGTAACTTGAAGGATTTGAAGGTCACATTACATAAAAACAAAACAGTTGAGAGATGGTAGTTAAGAAGTACCTCTCTGGACAATAAAGAAATACGCTCTTCTACTAAAGCACCAAAATGGGTGCATCACGTGAAGATTCAGCCTTTCATTTAACAGGTGAGTCTGAATCTCTTGCAGACAGATGGGAGAACACCTGCCTTCAGTGACCAGCTCTACAAACATCACTCTTTTGAACCCCACTGCAGTGCCAGGCCACCTCCTTCCCCTGCATATCAAAGTCATTAAGGGTATACTGAATAAATGTTAACAATCAGTCATAAACATCAGGCCATCTTTTAATTACAAAGATACGACTACCCATCTGATGTATTTTGTTCATCACCTTTTCATTAAAGCTGATCAAACAGAACCATAAAGTACCTTTTAAAATATTACACTTTTGGGGATTTCCTGCCTGACTTTCAACACAGTAACTGCTCAGATTTTATTTTTTAATTTTTTAATTAAGTAAAAACGTCCTCTCAGCAAGTGAGCAAATTCTTATGTGGGCAAACAAATAAGCAAGCTGTGCACTGCATAGGGTCTGGTCTTCACATATGTCAACACTTGTTGTTTACAAGGACGTGCTACCCCCTGCCAAACAGAGTGCTAACTCCTACAAACACTGATACATCAATACAAACAATTGGAGCAATTTTCTCGAGGAGTGAGGGCCAGGAGGGATGTTTGTTAGCAGTAAGGGTGCTTTAGAGTCACACAGCTTAACAGTGCTAGCCATAAGCAAAATGAAAAACAAATCAGAAACAGTAAGTTTAAAAAAAAATGTTGCTTCGCTCTAAGATTTGGAATACCAATCAGGCTGGCTACTATCACACCAAAAACCAGAGAGCTAGAGAAAGTATTTCAGAAATGAATACTGAGCACACAGTCATGACACACTGGATTAACCTAGTCTTGTCACAGATTATAAGGCTACGATATGATAACTCTGCTTTTAAATGGGCTTACAGAGATCAAATTCGCAGCAAACTTGTAATTCATATTAACAAGAAAAAACAGAATTTGGCTCTTTATTTTATTTACATCTTCCTGGCATCAAGAGTAGTGTTTTGTACTTCTTGATGCCAACAGCGGTATGTCCGTGTTAGAAAGGACAATAATTACTTTAGTGATGGTTGTCTACCTACAGTAACTGTCCTACAACGAATTAGTACTGCTACAGCTACACTGGGCAGCGACAGCTGGTGTTAGGAGTGACAGCAACAGGACTGAAGTAGGACTATCATTCAAAGAGGCTTGAACAGTTAGTCCAAATCACATCACTAATCTCTTACTACATGGCATTTGGTAGAGTCTAAGTGTGCTGCTACCTACAGGACTTACCAGCTCTTGTAGATAACTGAGTAACTACGCTTAGCAGTTCCGTATGCAATTATCATGCAGCCTGCACTGTGGTTTAGAACATACAAATAATTACAAATAATCATTAACTGTCCCTTCTGCCATATCATGATATTCACCACACATTTTCTTGTTAACTTTACCTATTTCACTTCCTTCTACTACAAACTCCAGTCGACGTCCTGAGCTGGGGCACAGTGATTCAGCATTTCCAGCTGACAATGATTTAAAAGCAGTATTACCTCTGATACCCTCAGATGAACAACATGAGGGAGATTTCACCTCTTCATCCCCTGCTTGCATGAATCCTTCTTGTTTCATAACAAAAGGTTATGCAGACGCTGTAGAAGATATGTGTCTCTCAACTTTCAATCACTTGCTCCAGCAGTAAATTCATAGCGAAACTCAAGGCTTTTGCTATGATATAAAATGTTGGTGAATTTGTTTTTGTATTTTTTTAAGATTGTTAGAGAACTGCAAGAAAGACTGTCCAGAGAGTCTGTGGAAAATTCAAGACCTGTCTGGATGTGGTCCCAAGGCAATCTGCTTGAGCAGAGGTTTGGACAAGAGGACCTCCAGAAGTCCTTTCCAACTTCTATCATTCTGTAATTCTGTGAAAGATCAAGTCTTAGTTGCTTCTATTTTTAAGTATGGGGGAAAAAAAAAATCAACTACAGAAGGAAACAACCCCTGGATAGCTGTCTCCTGAAGAACTGATTCTCTGAAGCAACAGTAAAAATTACCCAACTGCTAATGCAGTTTTCTGTGCTATTATAAAATTGCTCGTGGGTGCAATTCTATTTAAGGTTTTGACTTCATCTACTCTAGTTTTCATTCCACTTTAGAAGCTCTGCTGGAAAAGTTATTAAGGGTGACTGTAATGGCCTCCCTATATGACTGCAGCAGAAATTGAGAAGAAACTTCACTGAAGGAAATCTACATCCTCTAGGGTTACTCTGAGATGCTTTTGGATCACATTTTCTTAGTTATGATGGAGATACAAAAGCAGACTATGCAAAGCATGTCACAACTCAAATCTTCAGTGTCAAATGTTAAAACAAATAATAAAAATTACTATTTTCTGATTAGGCGAGGTGGGGTATAAACTCATTAATTTCAAAACCATGCAACAACAACAAAGAAAGAAACAGCTTTCTCTTACTGTTCTTAGAACTGAAAACACACATGTGAAATGCAATAATTGTGCCCAACATTTTAAAAATGCAATAAACACCACCTGAACTCACCTGAGACTGCGTGATCGAGGCCGCAGGGCTGGAGAGTGACGCCCTTCCTCATCAGTGATGCTCTCAGTACTGAAATGCTTTGTCAGGAAATGAAGTTCGTCTGCCGTGGGCTGAAAGGGCAGCTGGTGCAGCTTCTCCTGAGATGAGCATGATGACTGAGTACAGAAAAAAATACAGAAAAGAAATGCACTAAACGCATGCATAGGGTCAGCTAATGAATGGAAGAGGAACGGATTCTGCCAGACACTGCACACTCCAGCGGAAAAGAAAGCTACTTATCAGACCAGGTGCCTCTTTTTAACATTCTCAGTAGGCTAAGCCAAACCTTCTGTACAATGACAGAGCTGGTGAGACCAGGACAACTTTGGGAACAGGCTAGGAAAGGAATACACATGATTCTGGAACCGTTGTGAAGGTAATTACTGTTAGGAGACAGAAAGGAATGTACATTAACACCAGTGCTGCCCTGGAAAGGACAAGGAGGTTCCTGGAGTGGTGAGCAACTTTCCTTTTCCCTCATGCTCTCTTAGCTCAGGAGTTTCACTGGCATGCAGAATGCTATGGAGCTGTGTAGACGCAAGAGTTTTCACTGATCACTGGCTCTCCTTGGAAATTGCCGCATTAAGTAGTCTGTATTTTACTTCTCCATAATCTCCATTTAATTTTTCCCTTTCTTTACCCATCACACTTCCTTTCTAGCCAAGTAGGAAATAATAAAATGGAAGTAGCTGACTTTGCAGAGCTGTAGGATTAATAGTTTCCTGTTACAAACGCTAAAGCAGTTCATCTGTGTTTAAATAAGTTAATAAACTTATACGACATGTCTTGTGATAAGGATAGATGTGAAACAGATTTAATTCTTGAACCTGTATGAACTCAAACTCAGAAAAAAAAGTGTTGGTAACATCAAATGTTGGATGAGGGGAAAAAGCTGTAGGCAACGAAGGGCTGCACTTCTTCTTGTGTGATTTGTTTGAACATCCTTTCCATTTACAAAAATAAGGAAACGTATTACATAAGGACAGATTATAAAAACCTCTGAAGTGCCAGAGCAGCACTGAGTAACACCAGTGGGGCTTATGAAAAACACGACACTAACCTAAGTTCTGAGACTCCTTACTGATCTGATTAAATTTAATATTGCACACTTTCCTGGTGGAAGATTTTCTCCTTTTGCTACAATGGCCCTCACCCCAACAGGAAAGCAGTGCATCCTAGCACCAGAAGAATGTGTTTTAAGGACTAACACACGATCTGATGCATATGACCAAAGTTTAACTCACCTAGCATGCTGTTCTAGACAGTGGTTCTGGGAATAGAAAGCTAACAAATATGGCTGAGCCGTGAAAGCCAAATGCTACCAAGGCTGCTCACTGACTCCAGCATGTCTATAATGCTGATAAAGAAAATATTCTGAGATCACCTAAATTAGGTGCATCCAAATTTGCCAAGAGAGAAACAGCTGCTCTTGAACTGAAGAAAAACTAAGCAGACTGCTGCAGAACCCATCAGATGAAGAACTGAACGTGAGCACTTCCAAACCTGAAGTTCTTTTCCTTAGATAACAAAGAAACTATGCAGTGCCCAACACATTGCAGAGAAAAGAATCCATCTGAAAGTTTTAGGGTGTGAATGAAATCATCAAGGATGGCTGGAACAGGGAACCATCAATTCCCATGTCTTCCTTCAGGCAGCCTAGGTGCACAGATCATGTTAGGAAGTCCCATCCAGCCATGTCCATCTAGAGACAACTATGCAGATGGTGTAAAAGCTTACACTGCCCTGATCTACGTTGAAGTCACAGCAGAGTCTGAGTATCTGACAGCCCCTCTCCTCACAGCTATTCTGCTCTGCACACTGCTTATGCCAAACACAGGAAAGATTCTCTTTATTACAGAATGATGCAAACACTCTTTGACTTCAGGAGCCTTCTTTGATCACCTGTCTTACAGCATACAAAGAGTAAGAAGCATCTGCTTATGCAAAAACAGCAACTCTTTTCAAACTAAAGGTGTTTGTCATTCATGATGAATAACACCAAGTCTGCAAAAGGGCAGGAAGACTAAAAGCACAGGCTTATGAAGTGCTGCATTAACAGGTACTCGAGCTCTGGCATTAGAAATGCATTTCTTATTCAAAACAAAATTAAACTAAAACTGCTACATTAAAAAATTTGCACATATCAAGTTACTGGAGTTAGAAAAGAAAAATCAAAACTGAAATTCCAGAAGAAAACATGTCTCCTAACTGCAAAGCCACTGGCAAAGCTGTGTTAGTTGAGCTCATGGAGGGCCCTCCAAATTCCTTCCTTTCTTTAAAAGAAAACAGATCATAAAGTTTGTAGTTCCAGAGAATAACTAAGGACAGCTCTGCAGCCTTAGGGCATGCAGCTTTCTCAGTAAAAAAGCACAAAGTGAAACACTTCTGAAATATTGATTTTTAAGTAATCATAGCACTGTACTCAATACTTGCAGCAGCTTAACACAAGCATTCCCCTGGTGTCTTAATTACAGATGCAGAATTGTTCAACTCTTCAATAAATAAATTATTTTAAAAAAATCAAACTAATTACATAGTACTGCACACAAACCCTGCATCTAGAAAATGAATAGCAAATTAGATGCTTAAAAATAATTGTGCATTGGCCCATTCAGCTGACTATTCTACCCATGAAACTTGAAAGATCTTCTCCAGCTCTTTCACTGTTGGTCTGATGAAGTCTTCACTACTGTTACGAAAAAGATAAACATAATGGGGTTTATTAAGTGTTGTCCATTAACTGGAATCAAAAATTCAAGCAGAATCAACAGGTTTTCACTGACCTTAGAACAGGTAATTGCCTCAGTTTGTTCAGTTTGTTGCTTGGTAGAAAGCAAGATCTGTGATCATAGAGATATATGACAGCTCTGAGCTATGCAGAAGCTCAGGCCCAGCAGAACACAGTGACATTTTTCTTCTTGATATTTCATTTCCTACTGATATGTACACCAGAAGGAAGGTCTGCTGCCATCCTTCTCTCTTGCTTGAAAATACAATCTACAGGACTGATCACACCAAATGGAAGCCCACCATTCTGTTATGTCTTTATCCATGGGATTAATTTGTCGTGCTCTTCTGACAAACCTCTTAAAATCTTCTTACTTCAGTTTTAAAGTCTACACAGGCATAATGCTGCTTATCAACTCCAGAGGTGTTATTCAGATCAGTTCAAATTAATTCTAATCTACAAAATACTATGACAATAGAGTTGTCGTTGATGAGTAGTAAGGAGAATTGGCTTAGAAACGTGGTACTAAGTTTAATGGCTCCAAGACTGCTTCAGTACTTACTAAACATCATGTTTCAATGTCTTTCTGGGATTGTAAAACTGGATCAGAAGGAAGACAAGAGAGGAAAGACTCAGCTACATAGAAAAAAGAAAAAAAAAAATTGGAAATAAAGGTTTTAATCTATTTCCTGCAGGACGGTGAACTCAGATCTACACATGACTATCCCCACTTGCTTTGCACTGTGCCATTCTGTCATCCATTGCTTACAGCTACAATACCTACACTATTTAGACTGATGCTTTCTACGTGACATATCTATCTCTCTTTTATGGAAAAGTTTCAATCAAAATGATCTAGCTGTTTCAGGGAACATAGCAAGACAGGAATATTCTTTCTTCCCTATGTCAGACAACTGGTAACTTTCTAAAAGTAGCTTTCATGTTCCTTTTTCAAAACAAATACTGATACAACCACAGATTTATCTTGCTACTTTTGCTCTCTCCATGAACAACTACCCTAAGGCTGGTCAAACAATAATTTCTTGGGAAAACTGCTTATCACACCAGAAAATAAGGACTTAAGACACTGCAGACAATTTGGTCCAACTTCACATGCATCCTGGAAGCGTTCTCAGTGATTATCAATGATCTGACTATTTATGCCACCACTACATAAAGTAACTGCATATGTTCCACGCTCCAATAAACTGTCACCTGCCTGCTGAAGAGGGCACAGCGAGGGCTTATAGTGATAAAGGTTTATTTTAAGACAACAGAAGCAAAAGCAAAGCTCCTTTTTAAAAGCTGCCTTCTGGTACGTTAATACAAAATAGTATTTTGTTCTGCTTGGCAATGAAACCAGGACCACCTTTTTCCACATTTCTCTGTGCTCCTCTCTATATACCTGTACACACACTTCTTGTCCATTGGGAAAGCAAAATCAAGTCTAGTCTCCTTCTAAGGAGAGGAAAAATTTAAAAAAAAAAAAAAAATCTTAAAAGTCCTGAAGGACTAAAGATAACAAACTGTAGAAGTAGTGCAAACTAGAGTCTGCAGGAATGTGTCTGAATGTGTCTGAAGCAATCAGATGATATTAATGACAAAAAATGAAGTTTTAATAATGTTAACTTATAGCTAAAAGGAAAATTTTGACCCCAATCTCTTCTCCTAATATATGGAATGAATTTAACACTCGTGTTCCAAGGACTTACGAAGATCAATTTGTACTTGAGAGGGTTTATGGATGAACTTACTAGAACATTTCAGAAAGAAAATAATGATACTGTACTCAGAGTAAGATTATTACTCATTAAGATTAATTACTTAGTAAGATTAATATTCATGGAGTACTGAGTCCTAGCTAACACAAGTATTACAATTACTAGGAACACATTCTAAACAGTACATATAAAACAAAGCAATCAGTGTAAGTATTATAGAAAGAAGGAATGATACGTGACCACGCTGTTAAGGTACTCACCATTAACACATACACAAAAGCATGTTAACTCAAGGTAGACTTAGCATTTCCAGTCTTTCTATGCAGGGCATTGTAAGATTGTCAGGTAGATAAACACAGTTTATATTCACAAACTAAAGAATAAGATTAATTGTATGAAGTACCTGAAAGCTATAAGGGTTAAAGTGGTGTTGGTGCCTTACTGATGTTAACGACATATCAGCCTTTTGAAAGTACAGAAGAATTCAAGCAAACTGCAGACAACCTTTCTAACAACAAGTAAGAAATTAAAAGCTACATTAGGAGATTCAAATTACTGAAGTGGAGTTAACAGATGTGGATTATCAGTTTTTCCTTCTAGCAGATTTTAACACTAAGCACATGAAAGCAGATTATTTCCCAGTTAAAAAGAGCTGAGGTCTTGCTGGCAATTACGCGCTGTCTCAGAGCCCTGCCATTTCTGACACATCGTGCCTCTCAACCGAACAGTCAAGCCAAGTGCTACACTGGGATTTCACCAGTAGTAAAGGCAAAGTGCAAGATGATAGGAGCTGGGAAATGGAGGAAGAAGCAGTGGAACCAATAATTAAAACAATTTTTAAAAAATAATTAGTATATTTAATAATGTTAGCAAAAAAAATGAAGGAAGATCAGATATTTTAGTAAAGACTCAGAAGCAGATTTGTTAGGGTGTGTTTGTACAATCTGAATTGCTTGGAGAAGTCTGGGTCACTTACTGAAACTGTTGAACTGGGAGTGTTTGTTCCATATCCTGATGAGGGAAGGGAGGCCAAGGACCAGCGGCGTCCATCCGTTCTGAGGAAAGAAGCAAAGGAAATTCCTGTGATAGACGTACTATGGCCAATACTTGGAGGAAATAAACATCTACCCCCAAATCTCTTAACCGTACGGGTTTTCTAAAGTCTTGAGATATTCCAGTAGACCAGGTATCTTTGTGAAAAAACAGCAAAGGTACATTTCAAGAGAAACAAATAAGTGACCTTGGAAAAGATAAAGCAAATGGGCATCAGATTCCTGCATGACATTAAGTAGTTGCTTTTTAAATACTGCCAGTTGTGCAAAAATTGGAGTCCCAGGAATGAACAAATAAAACGGACTTATTTGAAAAAGGCCGCCTTGCCTAAAGCTGTTATGCAGTTCCTCGTCTTTCAAATAATGCTGAAAGTTGGGGGGAAAAAATGTTTTAAATCATGAGCTTAGTGAAAGTGGTCTTGTTTGCTTACTTTGTCATAGCCAATAAACACGGTTCCCACGGAAAATAGACAAAATACCCTGAAAATACTGTCAGACAGTTTTTGTCCTTACCAATGTCAGAACTAAAGACGGCTCTTCTTGGAGAATAATCAGAACTGCCCTTCTTGAAACCCTCTTCTCCCACTAAAACCCACCTCAGTGAGCTTGGAACCCAAACTCAATTCATCCCAGCTCACTGTGCCTTTTCTGCCTCTAATTTCATCTCACTCTTGAAGGCATTTTGATTCCTGTAATCACAAGTGTGTCTTGTTGCATTTTGGGATGAGTGCTAAAGAAGTCTCCCTCACATCAGTTTCAGCTCACTTGTTTGCTTTGCTATGGCAGACTATCAGTAGCTGCTCATAAAGGGAAACTGAATTAGAGCAGTTCCTCATTCTAACTGACTTTGGAAAGACTTTGTGGTTTTGGATGCACATTGATACAGTGCATTTCTGCAGGCACACTGTAAAATAAGATGCCTCTTATGGATCTGAAATACTGCTTATAAAAGCTCAATTGCTGTCTCTGCAGCAATATTTCTCATCCCACTACGAATATACAATGCCTCAATCTACAGAGAAAACTTCAGTGCACACCCAGACATAAAGATCTGTTTATTTTCAGGTACTTTGCCATCTACTTTAGAACAAGAGGGAAATAAACCCGCTGTTCTATATTACTGAAAAAGTATTATATCAAGAGAGTTTTTAAAAGGATTCATGCTTCATGCATAAAAATACTCAAGCTGTAATGCAGACTTCTATACATGCATACATTATAGCTAAACCCCATTTAGCCACAAGTCGTGTTCTCCTTGGCAAGACAAACATGAAAAAGGCCAGGAGAAATTCTTCTCTTAACCCTGAGAAACCACCAGCGTCAGCAGTGCAAAGTCACTGTGCCGTGTGGCAGCAAATGGGCACCACGAGTCAGCTGCAGAGATCTTCATCCAGCTTCTCCTAGAGCACATGGGTGCTGGTGGGACCTGCAGGCCAATGATTTGATCTCAGTTTGGACCCTCAGCCCCAAAGAAGGAGAATATCTTCCTATCTTCCCAAAGAGTAGATAGGAATGAATAACTCCATTTTTTTTCAAAAGGAAAGCCTAACTCTTCTTCTAGTGATTAGCCTAAATTGGGCATTGAAATAACTTTAGTATTTTCATTTTGGCAACAAATTCTTCTTCATTAGAAAGTTACAGGATACCTCCTTATGCTTGGGCTATTTTCTACTGATGCAATCTAGGCAAGAAATATGCCAAGCCATCAGGACAGCAGGTATCAGCTCTACATCTAACAGAAAGAGGTGAGACAGGAAAGAAAACTTCCAAATTGAAGACAATGGGAACCAAGACTTTAATAGAAATTTCCTCTCTCATTTATGCAAAACATTTCAAAGTTGCTTCAGTGCTCTGTTAATAAAAATTTATTTTCAGAGAGACTTCATGCAATATTCCTTCAGGAAAAGATACTTGGAAAGTAATGTTGAGGTCTTTTATTGCAAAATAAACTTAACTAGGACATGGAAGCAATGAGTTTTGCCTTTTAAATGTCATTTTGTTAAGTTAATTAGGAGGGGTTTTTTTATGGCAGTTACAATGCTATTTCATGAACACAGATGAATTTCAAAATGAGGTGTTAGAAGAACAAAGCATCTTCTCACGAATCACTACCGCTTTAACATTTTAGGTCAAAATGCAAAGTTTTATTCTTTGGTAATCAAAAGCTGAATGCCTAAATGGGGTTTTCATAGCGTGAACTTGTTAGGGACACAGGCTGGTGCCTGGCTGCACAGAAGCATGGTTCATACACACACACAACAGCAGTACGATGCATTACCTGTCTGCTCTGTGTCCATGGCTGTACGGAAGAAATCATACAGTGGTAATGAGGGACAGAGAAGTCAAAGATACACATGTCATTTGAGGGGAAAATAACAACAAACCTTCGTGCTCTGTGTTACTGATATTCCCCTACGATCATTTTTACTGAATACAGCAAAATTACCACGTTTTCTTACTCATATAAGATAATTTCGGAACACACTGACTTCATGGGTGTGAAGTAGCCATTGAAATGGCACCCAGTGAGAGATTTTTGATTAAGCACTAGTCAAATTAAGGACAATCTTGCAGTCTATTGTAGTGAATTTGGTTTTACAATAGACTTATTTGAATGTGCTCCCTACTCCAACCCAAGAACCCACTCATCACAAGGCAATAAGCAAAGAAGGAAAATCACAAACAATGTCCAAACAGAACAATAAATGAAGAAATTGTATCAAATATAAAATGCAGGGAAAGAGCAAGAAACAGCTTCTGTGACGACCATGGGAAAAAATCAGGTATGACCTCTCCCTTGAGACCCAAACAAGGCTGAACAAAAGGGTGCAGTGACACATCCATCTGTCTGAGGTAACAGTGAAAAACATTTTGAATTACTTAACACCATACTTCCCAAAGATGTTATTGTGATACTCTGCTTGATAATATAATACATACATGTGGTACTGCTGGCATAGCTATTCAGGGTGTAATACAAGTAGAAAATAGAAACAAACTTCTAAAACAAGCTGAGCTTAAGTGTTCTTTTCAGCAACTGAGAAAGTATGCAGAGCAGCATGCATGCTGTAAAATGAACCACAGCATACAATAGGACAGACCTAACTTTTGTTTGTCTATTTCTTTAAAAATAAAGAAGAAAGGAAAGTAGGAAAGAACACATTTCTGAGTTTTAGTATTAAAACTTATTTTCTGTTTGGAAATTTGGAAAGCAATTCTACTAAGGTGGCTGGAACAGCCAACAGCTGATGTTGAGCTTCGACAATGGTTTCAGCTGCAACTTTCCTCCTGTGATCTAAAATCCAGATATTCTGAAAACTGGTAAAATTCCAGTTGACTTCAACAGAACATATGAAATACATTCAAATTAAGCTCAGATCCCTCTATAAAAATAGATATGGATGCATGAGTCCATTTTAATTGTTTTACCACCAGGTAAAACTTTATTTTTTCCCTCTAAGGGAATATGAAAATACATATCCAGCTCATCACATTTCACAGGATTTTATAAAGTTTCTCTATCATATTAAGATCAAAATCTACTTCAAGCAGTATTCAGGGACACCTGGTCTTCTAGCAAGCCACTTCAATGGAAAAAAAAACACTCCAGGATTTACCCAATGCCCAGATAAAAGGTATGCCTCCAGCTTCTCTAAACTCAGCCTGTTTCCAAATCCCAACCCTCCACTCGTTTGATGTTTTGATACCTAACCTTTTCCTATCTAGTCCTCAAGCTGATCTCTCTTTGTCAGAAAACTTGCTGCCTCTCAGAATGATCACACTTTTCCTGTTTTCAGGTCATCTTAACACAGTTGAGAAGCTGAAGTTGAAGCGTTTAGCAAATTAAAAATATCTTCCTCACACATGAATCGAGCAACCCAGCTTCCCTGCCTAAATTTTGCTTGGAATCTCCTTTATTATTTTTTTGTTGCTGCTTTTTTCTTTCTCAACCAAATTTAACTTTCTGCATTGTGATCCATTTCTGCCTTCCTGATGAGATACGAAATTCAATACTCCATTTGTCTGCTTCTCCCAGATGTCTTTATTCTTCCTGTCCTGCTCCTTACACTAAATTGATCACTAATAGTATCAGATTTCTTTCCAACAGTTTGATCTACAGTGTAACAAGCATTTGTCTAGCACTCACTACAGGACAGATGATAGCTTTGCATTCAAGTCTTTCAACACTGTTCTTCTTTTAGCAGTTCCTGTAGACTTGTGATTTCAATTATCAGCTGTCTTCCTTGTCAGAGCAATAACATATTCCTGACACCAATGCCCAAGACAGTAGAGAGAGCTAAAAAGTTGCTACCCCTCAGAAGGCAGTGAATGAATGCAGAGTGCATGCCTGATTTTGGTATGTCTGTGTCTTTGTGCAGACAGAACAGAAGGGCAGACATACAAAGCACCTCCGTTACTCAGAGTGAAGAGGAGCTAGGATTACCACTGAGACAGAGTTATTCTATTCACAACTTAGGCATTGTGACTAAATGGCTTGTTATCTCACACAGCCTATATGTCATCCTCCTGGGAGAACACTGCCTCCTCCCCAGGCTCTATTTACGGCTTTATCGACTTTTGATCATTTCTATGTCTCAAAAGCACCTAATACATTCTCAGTATTGCCAAGGCCTAAACAAAAAGAGAATAAAATAGAACTACAAATATCAGAGAAAGCAAACCATGACCAAAAAAAATACTTGTAACTTGCAGGCAACTTCTAAACTTAAGTTTAGAAATCCTATTTGTCTGCCAACCCAGGCGAATGTATCCTGACTTACCTTCGGGCAGGAACAAAGGAAAAATGAGCAGGAGCATTTGGAGAGAAGTTTCTAGGGCTGTCCAAAGGGCTGCCACCTGTTTGAGAGCAAACAAATTCAGTCACATTTGCAACAGAGGAACTTCTCACTGTGCAGAGACACCTTCCATCCCAAGTTGTACCTGCAAATGATTGAGCTTTGTGCTCTTGATCATTTGAGCATTAGTTTGCCAAAGAAATACGATTTGATCAGAATCTTACCTCCTTTTGAAGAAATTTAAGATGCACACTTTCATACTTGTTCTTAAATAAGTAGTACATCATATATACACAATACAGTCTCTCAATATTATGTAACAATCCTTATACAATACACAATCCTACAGAAACCCAACGTTTCTCAATGAAAAACCTGGGTTAGAAATGATATTGATGACACTTTCAGGAATAATAAGTAGGAAGAAAATATCTTCATACTTACTGTGTTTATTGCTGCTGAATGTAAAATTCACTGAGGGGAAAAAAAACGCCACAGGAACTACATGTAATAAAAGGACTACAGACTCACAGAAGATGCTCAAGCGAGAAAGTATTAACATTCACCCTAACCACCACTTCATCAAAAAAATACAATGAAAATGAAAGAGCCAGTGACTTCATACACTGAAGAAAAAATAACATTAGATTTTCAATTGGCACAAGAATCTTTTTTCCCAGCTTTGTCATACAATGTGTAGGCATACAGTTGGTAAGCAGTGCTCTGCAGTGTCTTCAAAGAAAAAAGCAGCCACTTACAGGAGCCCTTCTGAAAGCCAGAATCATTTACAGACTGCAGAAACCTTTGAAATTTAGAAGATGAATTAGTAGCTTCATGTCAGCGAGTGTACTCTTTCTATCAAGCATATTCTTAAGTGGTTTGCTCTTTCAGGTCCTTAATACAAGCACAAAAGAGAAACTACCCATAGTAAGCATATGCCAGCAGCAATTTCTCTGAGTAAAAACAGCATTAAAACATGAGCAGGAAAACAAATGGATACAGGACAAGCAATGTTCTGCAAGCTACGTGGTCATCAGCAAGGTCCTCAGGTGTAGTATAAAAAAGTCATGTTAAAATTGAGCATCATCAATGGGCTAATCCCCAAAAAGTTACTCGTGTACCTTAAGTGTTATGCTGAGCAGAAGGCGAAGACAAGCACTGTGCTCACTGGAAGGTTTGCAGTCACTCCCACCTAACACACACATGCAGGTAGGAAGGGGGAAGGGGAAGGAGCCGACGCTTCCAGGCCGTGACGGTGTCCCAGCGCCGGGCAGCTCCATCTGGCTACACGTGCACGGGGACAAGAGCAGCTGGTCGGGATTACAGCAGCCTCGGGCTGATGTGGTGTGTGCCAAGGGGTGATGGGAGAGCTGGGGAGGGAAGCATGATCCAGCACAATCTGCTTCACCGAGAGCAAACGGAATGAAAAACAAAGGGTGCGGGCAACAAGCTTGTTTTCCTGTGGGTCGGTTTGGTTTGAGTTCAATGTGTTGTAAAATATTAGTTAAGAACTAACGACAGCTCAGTGTAATAGGACACAATGCATGCCTTCACCCAAAACCGACTGGCCCCAAACCCACTCCCAGTGTATCGTGGGCAGCAAGCAGAGAAACACCACCAGAAATCAATAAGATGACAAATACTGGCACTTCATTTATTAAGCTTGCACTCACTTGGCTCCTTATGGGCACACTGAAAAAACAGAGCCATTTTACTGCTGGGCTAAGACTAGTTTTCAGAGTCTAGATGGCACTGCAAGCTTACAAGAACAGTGAAAAAAGCTACAATAGCAACAAAATGACCAACTCAAGGTGCAGAAGCACATGTTCCCGCAGCAGCACAAGGCTAGGGCTGGGGTTGCCACGTATTTGCTAGGAGAACAGAAAGCTGAAAGAGCAGCTAAGATCAGGAGATGAGGCAGAATGAGTCCTGCAGGAAGCAGTGCAGACATCCCAGCAAAGCAAAGGAGCCTGTCCTTGTAGGAGCCTGGGTGTTCACATACCCATCACAGATTTGCTGCTTTTGCTGGCATCGAGATGATCTTTCTCGAAACAAAAAGCCCACTGCTGTTATAAACAGGCAGTGAACTGTCATCGTCTGTTTAATATCTTCATCAATCTTTTGTAAACTCTCCACATTATGATCAAAATAGGATTTCAGAGTAACTGAGCAAATTGGGTAATGACAGTTTTTAACTTTTGAAATTAACTATGTGGGTGTTCGAAGTCTTCTGAGCCTGCACAATCTGGTACGGAGATACTATTAATTTTTAAGTAACAACTTTTTCAGATTTATATAGCATATTTCCTCCCAGACACTGGAATTTTAATTAGATCCCCTGTGAGTTGCTTCAAGTTTTAAAATGAAAAGCAATTAGTTTTTCTACTCAATTCAAGTCTGGGTGAAGCTTTTAAAACAACAACAGGGAGAAGGGGAATTACTACTTTCCCTAAAATTTCCAGTACTGCTGCATCTGCTCTAGTTGAAGGAATTTTAATAAGAAAAGCCTTACTGCAATGCTCTCATTCACCGAGGCTGATCGAAACTCTATTTATTCTGTTAGCAAAGGTAAATTCCCCTGTTGCTCAGGGGTTATAGTTGGCTCCTTTTGAACCTGGAATGACTGTCTCAGGGGAGGCTGTTACGCAGAATGATTACCCATTAGGTAAATCAACGCAGTTACATCAATGTTAATAATTCAGGCATGAACTTTTACATTTCCTGGACACGTGGAGAAGGAGGTAGCTAAAGCACCTGTACTGCTCTGAAACTAGGAAAACAGACCTTTCAGGGAGGAGACAGGCAAAAGCCTCAGCTGCCATCTACAAATATGATGACATCGCACAGGTTAACAAGTCCAAAAGCTCAAACTAGAACCTTTTTGTAGTGCTTGCTCCTGAGATTCTGAGAAATACAATAAATACAAAGGTCCAATTGTGGTGGCCACCTACATACTAATGCTATTTGCTGAATAGTAACAGAAGCAGAACACATCCTACTGCACGTCACAGGACTTCCCACATTCTAGCACATCCCAATGTTAGGATGACTCCAATCACTTCAGCGCCCCACGCACCACCCAGCTCAAAGCGAATACCCGGGGTTCTGTCTGGCATCCAGGGATCACATGCACACAGTGCAAATGAACTGCAGCTCTGATGACCAGGACAGGATCCAGAGCTGCACACAACACACCCTGCACAAGTTTTATTGTTTGACCACTGCGCAGATACACTGTTCATGCCCTTGGATCCAAGGATATCTGGATCAAGAAGCAGGAGCATCGTGCACTTTTGTACAGCACTGATACATGAAAAAGAAGTGTATAGAAGGCTTAAAAATAATCTCTTCTTTCTTTCTTTCTTTCTTTCTTTCTTTTTTTCTTTTTTTTTTTCTTTTTCTTTCTTTCTTTTCTTCTTTTTTTCTTTCGTTCTTTCTCTCTTTCTCTCTTTTCTTTCTTTTCTTCTCTCTCTCTTTCTCTCTTTCTCTCTCTTCTTTCTTTTCTTCTCTCTTTCTCTCTTTTCTTTCTTTCTCTTTTCTTTCTTTCTTTCTCTCTTTTCTTTCTTTCTCTCTTTCTCTCTTTCTCTCTTTCTTTCTCTCTCTCTCTCTCTCTCTCTTTCTCTCTTTCTTTTTTTTAAAGCCAGAAGAAGGAACTGAACTTACAGTGAGAGACTGAATGATTGAATTCAGTATTATCACACTGCCTGTGAGCAGCTCCCTTCACACATTATTACAGACAGGAACAGGGACAAGTGTATCCACTTGTAACCTGGCAGCACTCGAAGCAGTTCATAGCAGCGTGAACCTCCCTCACCCACCTTCAAGAATCTCTTTGATTCTTACTATAAAGATGATGCTGTTTCTCTGATTTATTTTAAGCTTTTCATTGTAAGATACAGTCTAAGGGTAATGTATTAATCTGCCTTCGAATGTGTATGCTGTAATAGGTGTATGTTAGATTAAAAAAAAACATTTCGAAGAAATGCAAACACAGGGAAAGTGTGTGGACACCTTCCTTCCTCTGATTTGAAAGAAATACAAGGAAGATTTTCAAACCTGTCTTCCCAAAACTGCACTTCAGTCAAGATATGGGGGAGTAAATAAGGGTGGCTTTCCCATGACATTAACAAGTTGTAGCTGTTTAATAACAAGGCTCCATGTAATTTTGGAACAGATTATTTCATAAAGTTTGAAAACTGAACTAGTGCACTTCAAATCCATTAAGAGCTATTTTTTCAAAAATGTTTTCATGGCAGAGTTAGAAATTGTTCAGATTTACTTTCATCTTTAGACCTCTTATTAGTATTACCTTTCCTCTCCATTTTGTGGGATATGGAATTGCCTGACATCCCATCTTAAGCTGCTCTGTACATTAAAATGCGTAGTTTGCAGGCCATTAGGAGGAAGGACTGTGCTACATCACATCACCCCACCTTCATGTACAGAACACACAAAAGAGAAACTCCTGCAATTAACGCCATAAAGAACTCCATTTTCTGAACAGAACTTTTTTAGAAAGTCTTCCTTATTTCCCTGTATGCTTGTCACTCCTTTCATTTGTGGAAGAGGTGCAGAATGGACGTGAAGAGGAGGATGCGTGTTCACAACGCAAGAGGGATGGGAGAGGCTCCAGCTTTTCTTAGTGACTTATCAGTGCATGTGTCTGAACAAACAGATTGATCGATTCTGTTCAAATACTAAACAAATATCACAGCCTGTTCTCAAATTCACATCTCATATATGATATTTCTTAAGAAAATATTTGTGAATCTACTCTAAATTTCATCTACTTTTGTCTCTTGAATAAATTACTTGACTCAGGTAAAACTCCTAAGCACAGTAATGGGAGGGAACTGAGGCTACCAGTAATTTATCTCCTTGTTCTCTGCTTGCAACTCTTGGAGGTCACATAGGATGTCCTTTTTAATTAATACTTTCAAATCCCATATGCAACATTAGAACAAGAAATAGAAGTATTTGACAATTTCTGCTAAAGACGACGACCTAACACTGAGTAGCTACTCTCGTTTTCCAGACAGTCACATATGTAATAAAAGATAAGCCTGCAAAGCCCAAGACAGCATCAAAAACACTAAGACCAATGTTTCATTTGAAAGATGGGAGAAAAGAAAATCGAGAAAATACAGGTGTGAACATCTCTGCCTTTGTCTTCTGAGCAATGATCAGATCAACATCTTATTGCAATCTGAAAAGCAAAAGCATCTTGCTTCTTTCATATTCCGAGGAACACTTTTCTCCACCGTTTTACTTAAATGCTTATATAGCTGACATAGAATTTGTTAAATTCAACATACATATAGATTCTTAATATAAAGTAAGGAGCACAACACAACTAAGCAGAGAATCCCTACCAGGAGAAATATCACATTTTACAAAGCTATCACTACCATAATCACCCATAAGAGAGCCAAGGGAGTTTGGAGTGAAGTGGAATTCCTCTAGCAAATGCAAGCTTTTGGTGCAGTAATGAATTCAACAAGTTACATTTGAAAATAAATAAAGTTTATCTGAGTTATCTGAGATTCTGAAGGAAAAAGAAAATAGCCTTAATATGCTACTTTTAAGATTGGAAAATGAAAATCATGGGTCATTTAAAAAACAGTGTGAGTACAGCAACTTCCCAGCCATTCATGACAGGGCTTTACTCAGCAAATCTGTATGAAAATCTGACTTTTTGAGGCTTTCACGGGTATGCCTGGACAAGAACTTCTGTCCTTCCAGCTGGCTGAATGTCCCTTGCAAGGCACAATGCTCTGCAAGAAGAAACAGATGGCTCCTTCTCCCCGAGCCACCACCACTTTGCTGTCCTTTCTCAGCATTTCCTTTGTTTCAATCTCCAGAAAGTACTTTCAGGACATACTGCCATGTAGGATGAGAGAAGTCTGATTGTAACGAAAACAATTACTTACAACTGTGATGTGCTTCCACATTGGCTCAACAGTGGGTGAATATGTGTGGCAACGTTTGGGCTGTTTTAAGTTAAACTTGTACCCATTAGGGCCACACCTGAAGCCCAACTGCTTTCTCTGGCATTCTGAAATACTGAAAGCAATGCAGGTGTACATCACCTGCCCCTCTCCCAATAAAGGTAACAAGGGAACACGCTATTCAGGCAAGCTGCTGAACCCACTGCATGACCCCTTCTAAAACTCTGTGGTTACCGCAGACTGAATAAACACTTCTTCTTTAGAAAGAACATCTCTCCACACTTCACTCTGATGACTAACAAGCAGTTGCCCATTTGCCTGGAAATGAGCATTTCACCATTGCTGAAGTGATAAAACTGGCAGCAATGCATAAAGCAATTTTCAAACATCTCATGTTGCTCAGAGTAGCAGACAGAGACCGCAGATGGCACACTGATGGGGAATATCAACACGTTAGGCAACCCAGCTCATGGCAGGGTGTTGGAGCAAGGTGATCTTTGAGGTCCCCTCCAACCTAAGCCATTCTATGATTCTGTGTTCAAATTCAATGCAATGAGCACTGACATTTTTCCCAACGATTCCCAGCTCGGCAGCCCTCGGAGTTACCTGCATGTCCATGGAGGGGGGAATGCGGCCGCGGGAGAGTCGGGGATGTGCTGGACGTTACAATCAAACTCTTTCTGTTGCTGGTCCGACAGCTGGAAGAAAGAGATACAGATGATGAGGCAAAACCAGAGTAATCAAAGCACCCAAAGGCTGGTCCTAAAGAACAGCCTTTAGCTAAGGAGAAATAATCTCTCAGATTCGGGTCGATATTTCTTCTCTCACTCGATTTTGGTATTGACTGCTGGGAAACAAACATACAGGGCCAAAAGGTACTTTGTCAGCAATACACGTTTTAATGTGCTAGAAGCAGCACAAACATGCCTACTGAATGCCCAATGAATTTTCAATGCCTACTGAAAAGCATGCAAGGTGAGCTTCAACAGCCCTCTGCCCAATTTAGCTCTAAAGGTGATGGAAGTAATCATAATGGGCAAGTGAAACATTCTCATTTCACCCAGTCCTGAACAAAGCCTACTGGATATTTAACTCCCTTGCTGTTCATCCATTTTCCTGTGGCATATAGGAATACATACAGTGCATATGCAACACACACTTAGGTTGCCCAGCAGAGCTCCACGGTGGCTCCAGGGCTGACATCTTTAGGGGAAATTCTTTACCCAGAGAATTGTAAGGCACTGGAACAGGCTGCCCAGAGAGGTTGTAGATGCCCCGTCCTTGGAGGTGTTCAAGGCCAGGTTGGATGGGGCCCTGGGCAGCCTGGTTTAGCATTAAACGTGGAGGTTGGTGGCCCTGCATGTGGCAGGGGGTCGGAGATTCATGACCCTTGAGGTCCCTTCCAACCCTGGCCATTCTGTGATTCTGTGACCTGCCCCCATCCCACCTGGAGCAGCCCCGATAAATGCGCTCAGTCTGCCAAAACCACAATTTAATGCAGAACTGCTTTGCTGTCACAGGATACAGTATATCTGACTGTTATTATTTGTAAGACCTCTTACTGTTATTCTGTAGGAAACTGGAGAACTCGAAGCAGAAAAAAGCACAAGGGAACTGCCAACCATAATAAACAGTAATAAAGTTGAAGCGCCATTAACTGCTATTCAGGCTCTTTAGTGTACTTAAAGCATTCCTCAAAATTGTCCAACTGATTCCATACAATCTTCATTTACATTCATGTATTATTCAACAACACTCCATCCAAAAACTGATTGCCATTGTGTACATCATACAGACAAACGAACGACCTGATGTTAAGAGGCTTAAAATCTCAGTTTATGGATTTTTTTAAAATGTGTTCAGTCAGTCTATTCCAGTAACTGTTGAAAAAAACCAGAATACTCAATTCCAACATTAGTAGCAGATAATCACTATGTTTACATCACGATGAAAATCTCTCACAACACCAAAGTGCTGAGTGTTCTAATGTAACGTAGATGACTACATGAGAAATAAAAAAAACCTTGAGCATTCTAATGTAAATTACCATGTAAAAACTGCAGATCTTGCTCAATACAGAACACTAGTGTCATGAGAAAAGAGAGCTCCGTCCCCCGTGGCTGCATCCTTTTGCTAAGAGGAGTCACTAAAACACTCATCATCACAGCCCAGAGCATCCTCTGGAAAGTTGGTGTATTTAAATCACAGCATAATGGGGAATAAGAGCTGTCTCAAGCTCAGAGCTATTTAACTGATGGCTGCATCTGCCAGACTGGACCAGGTTTTACAAACCCATTTTCTCTGCCATCGCTGCAGAGAGGACGACTCAAAAGAGAGAGGGTTAAGCTGGAGAGCAAAGCACAGCTGAGACCCATTAAAACAGGTCAGGTTTGCACCAATGCACCCAGGGGAGGAACGGTTTTTGAGCTGCCCAAGTTAGGAATAAAGAATATTCTTTTTATACCCCCAAAATCTGGTAACTTTCCATTTCGCTGGATCTCTCACCAGGGAAGGAGGAACATCACTGGAGCCCATTCAGCCATTTACACGATCCGCATGTGCTGGCAATAAGGCAAAGCTCAGACATAAAGGCTAAGAACAAAACTTCCAATTTCTTGAATTCATATTATATGATGGGAAAAATACACGCACACAGCCACAAATGCACTCTCGATTGGTTGAAGAGAGCTCTCTGGATAGATACATGGATAGATATAACTTCTTAGAGAACTTGGAATCAACGAGAAATTACAGAAAAAGCAGCAATAAAGACCTCATAGTCACAAAAATGAAGAAAATAAAAAGGGAGAAGTGGAGCTGTAGGTGCCCCTGTTCCTTGCAGGGGAGTTGGACCAGATGGTCTTCAAGGGTCCCTTCCAACTCAAACCATCCTGTAATTCTATGAAGAGCTAACGTGCAGCCTCCAGTTGGGCAGCTAACCTCAGGAATCCATCACGACAGCATTTAAGCACCTTCTAAAGAAGAACAGCTGAATATTAAAGAAGTAAAGCTAGCTTTAACCAGGAATTTGTGCCAAAGAAATTTGAGCAAGTCAATTTAAGTGCTGGCACAGTTCACATGAAGACAAAATGCTTTCCTGGAAGATGCACTTCAGCCAGACAGACGGGGCTCAGCACGGGGCTACATGGCCAATAATGAGGAGATCATATTATTGAACTCTTACACTACATCATTGCTCATTACTGTTCATGAATTCTGCAAGAAACTCTCTAAAAACAATCCAATCTGCATAAAAACCAGGAATAGAAGGAGAGAGTAGAAAGGGAAAAGGTTAACTATACAACTCAGAGTACACTGACAAGAAAAAAATTATAGTTCTGAACCAGTCCAGAGAGACTCTGAGCACTACTACGTGCTTGTAAGCCAAAGCTTTCCGACTTTCATTGCATGCAAGGTCCCCGACCCTCCTCTCCTCACAGTTTGGTGTGGGACTCATTAAGGCTTTTCCCAGATCCCACTCCATAACTTGGAAAGAGCCAACCCCTGCTGCATGCCCTGCAGGGCCACTGCCAAACTCCAGGAACCTGCAAGCCCAGGGGAGCATGAGAGCTGCCTGATTTTATTCAGAACAAGCACAGCAAGACGGGAGTTTGCTTGGAGAGAGGTGAAACAATGCCTCTGCCATCACCACGGAAATGGTGGCTCTACTGTTTGTGAGTTGAGATCTCTCCCCACAGTAAAAATAACATTTGTTATGTGCAGTGGAGCGTTCCAAGATGTGTTCTTGAAACTGAACACTGCAGGACATCAGACGTGGGTCTGGTAACTGGACACTAGTTTTGGACCCGCTGCAATGCGCTCGGCAGCCAGCAGCAACCTCGTGCAGCAGTGCCAAGCAGGATGTGTGGTACCTGGGAGCTGTGTGCAGCCCCAGCACACCTTGTCCCCAGCCAACAAGCCTCCACCAGAAGGCAATTTGGGACTGATCTCCAGTAACATCACTGCAGTGCTGGTCATGAGGAACGAACAATGAGGTATTTTGTCAAAAAGATAACGCGCTTCTCTAGAAAACACTCTCAGGGCAGAAGGTGTTGCGTATGCAAATAAACAATATATACAGAAAAAAAATCATAGCTTTAATCACATTTGTTACTAATCATTGTTTATGATCCCTTTTAATGATTTAGGAACAACTTCTCAGAAAGAGCAGTGATGCAGTGGCACAGCTGCCCAGGGAGGTGGTGGGGTCCCCATCCCTGGAGGTGTCCAAAGGATGTGGAGATGTGGCACTGAGGGACGTGGGCAGGGGGCACAGTGGGGTGGGCTGGGGTTGGAATGGGTGAACTTAGGTCTTCTCCAACCTTAATGATTCTATGAGCACTTAACTAAATTTAACTAGATTTTCCTCTGATGTTACAGGAGTTTAGTTTCAGTTGATTTGATTTACAAAGACTTCTTTATGAGAAACAGAGATTTTGGAAATGAAAATAAGTATTTAAAATTTTTATTCACAATGACAGAAAATTTACAAAATCTGAAATCTGCATGTCAATGAATGCACCAGCTGCACAGCAATGTTAACTAGATGTGGAAGTTATTGTCTTAATTATAGTAATTCAAGGATGGAAGCAATTTTGTAAGCTTTAGCACTACCAACAACAGGAATAATTAGTTCTCTAAAATAGATAACAATAAGTAAGCATCTGCTACAATGAATTATTTTTTCTACATTCAGAATGGTTTAAAATTTTTTCATCCTAGAATAACTTGAAAAAAAAACACATTATTATTCATGGTGGAGGTCTGGTTTGCAGATTCCTACAATAACCACTTATCTTCTCTTAAGGAAAAAGCATTATACTCATTGAATATATGAAGGATGGAAGTACGGAGCCATCTTTAGATACCACAGAACCTCCATCATGACAGACTCAGCAAGGGGGCTGAAACTAGATGATCACTGCGGTCCTTTTCAACCCAAGCCGTTTTATGATTCTATGATTCCCTCCTCCCTGTGTCACCTACAAGCTATTGCAGCCATCTGCACAACCCAGCTTTGGGGTGGATCCCTTCCTGCTCACCTGTGTGGCAAGGAGCATGGAGATAAAAGAGAGGGCTTCTACCAACTGTAAGGTGTGGGCTGCACTTCAGTATAGATATCCAGGGAGAACATGGACAGTAAATGTGTAGAACATCTGCCGGGATGGTATGTTTCAGCCTGCTAGCAAACACAGAAGCTGAAGGGAACAAGGTGCCAAGCAATGCATGCGTGAAGTTGGATGTAGACTGGTTCTTTTGTTTAAAGAAAACTAACATCTAAGTATTAATGTACAAAAGTAATTTTGTTTCATCTCAAACAAGCTATTTGTTAGATAAACCCTTCTAGTTCTTCATTTATAGCTCAAATTTAAGAAATGATATAACCTCATGTTAAGAAATTGTGAAGAAATGACTGAAATTGCCAGTTAGTGTCTAATTTATGTTTAATTTGCCTAATATGTGTGGTTGCTGTACACCTGCCTGCATCGTGCTGTGTAGTCCAGGCCTTCTGCATTATTAACAACAGAGGAACACAGGAGCTACTGCAAAGCCAAACAAAATGAAATGTCACAACAAATTACCATGACTGGCACAGCCATTCCCAACTAAATCAAACCACTCTATTCTGAAACATTCCTCCCTCACAAGCATGTTTCAAAGCTATATTCATCCTTATATGATGAGAAAAAAAAAATCT